CGGAGAGGAAGAAGAGGAAGAGACAGGTGAAGACGGTGTTAGAAGGAAAACACGAAAGAAGGTAAAAACAGCATACGTCCGAGCCCCAGCACCGAAGCGACCTCTAACGTGTTTCCTAGGTTGCCCGATCGCATGAGGCCACCTTGGCTCCATCCTTTGCTTCTATACAGTTAAAGAAGTTTGAACTAGAATTTGCAGTGGATCCTCTGTTTAAAAAGGCCTCTGCGGACTTCGATGAAGGGGGCGCCAAAGGATTGCTTTTGAATCACCTTTCAATTGATAGCCGTGGGAGGATTGTGTTTGATAGTAGCGACGATGTTGATGATGCTGCCGCTGCCGGAGAAGACCGAGAACAGACCACAGAACCAGAAGGGTCAAAATCCCCGACACCGAGGCTTCAAACGGCCAATTCCATGGACGAAATTGTCGAGATTGATTTGGGTCCATTGGCAAATAAATTCTTCCCAGACCTGGATATCCTCGCCGAGCAGGATATCTGCCCGTCACTGAAAAACCTCGATTTCGGAGATGAAAGCGCAACACTGGACATCCCATTCCTGCGCGCTCCAGAGGATTGGCGCCAAGACAACCCGCAGCCAGAACAAGGCCTAAGAGAAGCATCCGGTATAATGCTGGATGATGACATTGCCATTGGGTTTGACGATGACGATGGGACCGTTTCGGGCTTTGATATTGGTGAAGACGCTGGATTTGGCGAGGGTGGTGAAGCTTGGGCAAGGGAAGCTGCACTCGAACCGATGCTACAGGTTCACCGTGTGGATGCCGGTGATGGGGATAATAATGATACGTTAGGTGGCGTTCTCGATTATACAGAAGACGATCCCTATAAAATTTCGCTATCGCATCAGCCTGCGAATCGAGATCATGAAAATATTCTAAGCTATTTTGACAACGCTTTGCGAAAGGATTGGGCCGGTCCGGAACACTGGAAGATTCGAAGAATAAAGGAGACAGCGGCGTCAAATTCAAATTCGGCTCCACGGCAACGGAAAGAAAAGGAGCCGTTTGAAATCAATTTTTCGTTGCCTCTCGATCCTGCTGTTGCAGAAATGATCTACACTCAAACAAGTTCCAATTCTGTGATCTCCTTACCAAAGTCGCAGTGGAAAACCAAAGGACGGAATCTTTTACCGGACGACAAGCATTTCAACTCTCGAAATTTGCTACGATTGTTCTTGAAGCCAAAGGCAAGAATGGGTTTCCATGCGAGAAATAGATCCCGGCAAAATAATAACCGCCCCCAAAATGGCTTCTCCTCGCCAAACAACGGTGAAATTGACGAGGCATTCTGGGCAACGCAAAAGCCGGGAATGGATCAAGCCAACACGGACGAAGGTGCCGGCCCTACCGGCACATACGATGCTGATTTCTTTGCCGATGATGACGGACTAGCCTTCCCTCACGGATTACCTATGGGAGGGGACGACGACGATGACACTCTACCGTTTGCGGATGCCAGGGAAGCGTTCTCGCCTCCTATGGATCCAAACGCTCCCCAAGGGGCCTCTGTAGGTGGGACTGGAGGTCTTTCGGGCATAAGTGCCCTGCTCAACAGCGTGACTACTCCTGGTACCGTCTTAGGTGGAGGATTTGGCTCCCAGCTAGTGACACAAGGCGGTCGGCGTGTCCGTCCGGACTATGTTGCTTATGCTCGCGTGGCGAAGAAAGTTGATGTACGGCGGTTGAAAGAAGTGATGTGGAAAGGCATGGGGGATCGGTTGATTGCATCCTCATCATTTAGTTCAGCTTCTCCTTCAGCTGCGGTCACAGCAGCTCCTTCGAAACCCATACCGGAGCCAAGTACTCCAGCTGCTGATCTCAATCCTGGATCCGCGGATCAGTCTAGTTCCCAAGCAACAAGTGAGCTAAACGAAAACCTACGTTTTACAGATATTATGAATGGCTTAAAAGGATCTTATCCTGAGCAAGCTATGCGTGATATCAGCACGTCATATTGCTTCATCTGCTTGCTCCATTTGGCGAATGAAAAAGGATTGGTCCTTGAAAATAAAGGTGGATTTGAAGGAAATTGGGACGGGAGGTTGGAAGAGATTTTTGTCAGCAAAGACGCAGGTGCGGTGATTGAGGGCGAGGTATAATACCGCCCGGAAGATAGCATGGGTGCGTTTACCCTGTTATGGAGAGGCGCGCCCACATTTCTTTTTTTATGTTCATTGGTTCGGTGGAGGTGTAGGGTGGGTTGGGATGGCTCACTGCCGTTTCTTCTTGTAAACTTTGGTTGTTCGGAGTGTCCATTGAGGATGGTGTTGCATATGTCACTCTGCCAGGTAATAATATACTTGTTTTTGGTTCAAGGTATATAACTTGTCAATCAATGGATACTTCTATCTCCTAAGCTGTTGGGCTGTGGTGTGGTCTGTAATTCCTTTAAAAAGGTCATGGTGCATATCCGTAACATGTAAGAGCGTAAACAAAAATCAGATTCAATTGTGAAAGGCTAGCCAAACCTATTGCATTGCCATTACAATATTACAAGCTTTACTGGTTTTAAGACTTTGTCTTCTGGCATTTCGCATATCATTAACATACATCAACAACTATGAGCCACAAAATATGAAAGAAATTGTAAGAAATTAAGTACAATAGATAGAATTGGTATATAACTGGGGGGAAAGCCTAGCCAAAAGTAAAATTAGGGAAAAGTAGGTCAGTGTCACAGATGTGCCGAAAAGCTTCTAATCGTCCAAGCGGAAACGAATGTTTGTCTTTGCTCGACGCAATCAAGGAATCAATGGGGATATCATGAAAGCGGGGTTCTGGTATCTTAATCAATGAACATAACTATTGGCTTCGAGACTGTACAGCGTGTTCTGCCGTCATGGCAGTCCCCGGTCTGTGTTCGTCATTTTCTTGGCCTCTTTGGATCTGCTGCGTTGAGGACTGGGGCACGAAAGTTGGACTGTTAATGGGGCTCGAATATGATTCCGGAATTGGTACAGAACCATATTGTTTTTCTCCCGGTGCGGGGCCCACATGCTGATTCACGATCTGGACGAGTCCGGGGGACGTCGGGGGTTCGCCATCAGTTGGGGAACTCTCACGCGTAGGCGCCTGCACACGGATTGGAGGAGGTTGGAGCTGGAACGGTTGATTTGAAGTAGGCGTGAATTGGGTTGCGAACTGAGGTTTACATTGCTCTCCGTTTTCCGCCGCAGAGTAAGCGTCGATTGTGGCTTTGGGGAAGTGCATTGAGCCAGGACTGAGAGGATAGCCCGGTGTGTTTGGAGCTGTCTGAGAGCGAAGATTTGCAAGGTAGAGGTCAGACCGAGCCTTGTCTCGCGCATACATAGACTTTCGTAGCTTATGTTTGGTCCAGAAACGATAGAAGACAACCGCATAGATCGCAACGGTAATCGTGTCAACGACAACTTCAATGACAATGCATACCAGTACCCAATCCTAGTTTGGTGTCAGTTTTGAAAGTAGCCAAATCTCGATTAAACGAATGTGCAACATACCTGTAGGCGACACACAAGTGCATAGTCAACAATATCCGAATAAAGTTCACTTCGAAGATTCTCTTTACAGGCCCAACCCCACAAATCCTTGTCATTGCCGCTTTGCTTGCTATTCTGCAGGATGGCTGCGGCCACAACCCACATAACGATGGTAAAGGCGAAAAAGCAGGCTCCAAATACAGTATAATATACGCCTATCTTTTCAGCTCGACGATGGCCACCGCGACAGTAGGCTATAAAAACTCCTACACATAAGAAGAGAGAAATAGACGCGATAACGAGGATAACAATCTGAGGCCAAGGGTTCGTATTCGGGGCCCAGGGCGTAAAGCTGTTCCTGGACGCAAGATTCCTTGTGGAGTTGAAGATGACGAAACTGTGGGCTAACAATGCTAGAATAATCAAGCTGCACGAAAAGTTGACACCACGAAGCAGGAATTTTGCTATTCTGACTCGGGTTTTTACTTTCTGGTCGGTTAATTAGCAACCGGGTTCCAAGAAGGCTGTATAGTTATGCGTCCAGGGGATCAGAAGGGTGACAACATACAATATCTTTGGCATTCTCCTCTTCCGTTTCCTTTTCATGGTACTCTAAAATCTGTTCCTCCTTGAAAGTGGGACTAAGCGGATTTACCAGACGACCCGGTGTTCCCGGGGTCTTTAGAGCGCTTTTTAGAGGAGAATTTGGAGGATTGGACCGGAGGCCTGCACCAGGGCCGGAAGCATGGTTGGAAGGCCTGTTGTCAGCGACGTAACCAAATCCCAGGTCAGAGACGTTGGGCTCGGAGCTTGATTCCCCCCTAGTTGGTGGGTCCGCAAATGGTGATCGAGATGATGACCCGACGGGAGAATCCACAGAAGTAGCTTCAGTAAACCTAGGTGTGCGCGGAGAGTTTAAACTTGGCGGGCTTGGGGTTCCCCGAGACGAATGCGTGTCTTGGATGTCTATAGTCTTTGCGGGACCGAACCCGACGGACTTCCGCTTTGGCTGGACGATATCAATTGGTGATACCGGTTCAAACGAATCCTCGGAAACGTCGCCGCCGAGATGTGAGTTCGACATGGCAAGAAGGGTATATCTTTGCAGAGGAGTTGTTGGCTTTGCTGGCTGGCAGGTAGTTCTAGCGCCGCTTGCTTTCCAAGAGAACCAGCTCCCAGAATCATAAAAGAGCAACAATGAACTAAAGAAGTCAGAGGTTAGGCCCATTCGAATCAAAAGGAGATTCATACTGGGAAAGACGCAGGGAATCCTCTGGTAGGGATTTCCATGACACCCTTTAGCAGGAAAGTAGGGAAGCGCCACTCACTCACTGTATTTGCAAGTCAGGAAGACAACTTTTGTTAACCGCTGAGAAGGAGACAGGCTTTCTTGGGGTGAGAAGTTTGGCTAGGCGCTCGATCCGCGATGATCAGGTCAATATGCCTGAGGGAGACTCCAGAAAGTAAGAAAGCAGGTGAAGACCGCCTGATAACTGCGAGGCCGGCTCACGTAACTATGAAATGAGAAGACAGAAGAAGCTGGGGAAACGCTCGGGTAAAAAGGTCCGAACAGAACAAAGATATCCTGCATGCGCCGGGAAGAGGGGGGAGAGGGTGAACCAAGTTCACAAGAAGACAATAAGAGGTCGGCGGCAACGGATTGACAAATTGGAGAGAGATGTGCTTGACGTCCGAACCGCAGGCTGTCATGAGAAAAGGACAGGGCCCATCTGATTGGAGGAAGGGAGGATCTCAGGCTAGGTGCGCCGGTTCATGATCGCATTGTCCCACTCCCGCATTAAGAAGCACAGCGAGCGGCCTTGTCGAGGCCAGCCCGGGCTTGAGGGCAAACAGCGTGAAGAGTGCGACGCCCACTAAGGGGCCCCTTGGGAAAAGAGGCAGTGATGAGCGGGGACGGCCATGGACAGAGGCCCTCGTTTTGCATTCATCCGGGCGGTTAGAACTGCACCCCCTGTCCAGCGAATCACAGCGCCAGACCGCCATCCCGAACAAGCACCAGGCCAGTGTGATTGGACATCGCACTCTGGCATCAGCGAGGTTGCTGAAGAACCAGCCTGCAGCGGGCATGGGTGGTCGCGAGCGCAATGCAGGTGAATGGCCAGGGTTGCTGCATGGCGATCACACGCTAGAACTTTGTTTCGCCCAATCAGCACGGCGAGCACGGTGTTTGCTCGAGCCAGCGGTCAAGACCGCCAAGCTGATTAGCTGTGGGCTCGCGAAGTCAGCGATTTGGTTCCCGGCGCTAGTTGTTGATAAATGGGTGGAATTGCGATGCGTTGAGGATTTGCGCCGTGCAGCAACCGCCATGATCGTGAGCTGGCTAAGTGCACCAGCTTTGAATCAGCTCTTTCATCCGTTGCAGTGTCAGGCTGGTATCAAGATGATTTTGGCAAGACTTGACACACAACACCAATTTCTCTTTTATCATCAAATAATTAGCTTAATATCAGTTTACCTGAGATTGTTACTTTCTGACCATCTCTGATGTATCATATTAACTAATAATAATAATAATTTCTGCTCACAATACTCTGTACTCCATACAATTATGACATCAATGCGAAAGAAGGAATCACAACTTTGTTTGATGCGCCTAAAACTTCAACTGACGAAAAATCGTTCGTGAAAACGGGTCTCCATAGCTTGGTATGAGGCCCATCTACCATTAAGTTAGTACTGTAATCTGTGCGAGAAGCAAATTTCTGACTGGCGATCGGCAGCCCACATTATCAACAAGTTAAAGGCAACTGGAGCCCTCTGCTGCCACCTGTTCTTGTTTCTTCCGGCTTCACTGGTTGATGCGATTAAAGCTCTTTGCATGAGTCCTGAGAACAACCCAGAACCAAAGAGCGGGCATTGTCTCATGGTAGACTTGACTCCCTTTCCTCTAGATTCCCCTATTCTATGCTCTGACTTATTTGTTAGCGAACATTGCCATACTATTCGATGATTCACGGTGTTGGGAATTAATTATAGCGCCCTTTGTTTGATACTGTACGCAAGCTGCAGTCACCCTGATGCCCGACACACCAAGCCAGGTTTCTTCGGCGGATGTCGGCGAGTCGGAGCGGATCACCCTTCAAGTGGGTGATCGCCAATTCTACACTACAATCGAATCGCTCGTAGAGCGAAGCAGGTACTTCGCAACCTTGTTTTCTGGGAAATGGCCGGTGAGCAAAGAGGACGGCTCCATCTTCGTTGATGCGGATGGCAGTGTATTTGAATACGTTCTTCAGTACCTTCGTCGAGGCGTTTTCCCGCTTGCATTCTGTCAGCGGAAAGGTCATAACTACAGTTTATACATGAGGTTGCTTGAAGAGGCCAGGTACTTCCAATGCCCTCTGCTGATTTCATGGCTAGAGGACAAATGTTACTACAAGTGCGTCCGTTGGCGTGTTTTAACACGGATACAAGACACGGTAGAGCCCAACATACAGGGACAAACCAGCGTGAGGGATTGGCAGATTGTTCCACAGTTAAAGAGGAAAGAAAAGGTTTATATCTGTCCGCGGTGGATTGATGTACATCGTGGCAACCTGCAAAAGTTTGGCCGCCAGTACCGGAACGCTAAGGGAGAGGGCGGTCCCGAGTATGATACCGAGAATGTGACATCAGAATGGTTAGTGGCGAGAGCCAGGTTCCATCCTGGGTGGATAACGGACTCTGGGTGAGTTTGGCATTTTAGCCGTCACTGTATCTGCGACCATGGCTGCTGACGGCCTTCCTTCAGGGCACCTTTTCTTGCACACTGGCAAACTAGACGCTCCAGAAAATCGCTATAGAATCTAGTGTGGTTAAATAGACAAGTGTAGTCTTTGGCCGGCCGAGCCGTTCCATGCTACATCAGTGGGCGCCCCATGCGCCAACTATCCGGGCTCGACGGCGTGTCAGTAACAGCCGCCCATTATCCGGATTAGGTTATCTTGTCGCGTACAACATGTATTATATCACAACCGCCGAAGCCGGTGTGCCCGCGGTAGACTTGGCTGAAAGTGCCTCGTTCTTGTTCCTTTGAAGTGGTGACTGCTGCTAGTGCAGAGCCAAGTCTGTTCTCTCTGGGAAACAGGTCTCAATCTCTGACCAGGGCCAGCACTTCTCCATCATGCTCAGAAGATGAGCATCTTTTTCAGCAGATCATTACCACAGCTTGTCTCTATGGTTCTTACTTCTCTCTCTGTGCCCATATCAAGTTTGCTCGATCTTATCACAGAAATCTGAGCAAGCCACTGACTGTGCAATCTTATTAGAGTTAGACATGCAGCTTGCCAAGGCATCTTCAAACAAAGAAACTGTAGATATTTATCAAGCAGCAGAGATTAAAAGATGACGAGAAGCTTTTGCTTGTCGAGGGCGCGCTTGCCGACAGCGGGGTCGCGTGAAGAGTGATAAAAAAGTATTTTCTGATAGACAGCACAGAGACAACACAGAACTATCTTATAGTCTGTTCTTTCTCTAACCACTTCATCTCTTATTTAAGTCTCTTGGGCTGGTCATCACTGAAGATTTCATCCATATCACCAGAGCAAGAGTATTGGTCTCAGTACTGCAGCAGAAGAGATATAATTATTGAGAACTCTGAATGTAAAAGTTGGTCTCTGTTTGAGCATTACTATTTCAGCTGCTAGATCTCTCTCAAGAAGCAGAATGATAGTTGGGTGTGTTATAGAATATAGACAGAGAAGATTCAGGATATAAACGGCTTGTCTTCAAGAATATTGCATTTATATCTTGCTGAATAGACTGGTGTAGATTGCAGGCATTTCAAGGCCTGTCATTGGCAAGAATTACTGGATCAATGGAAATGTTGTGCTAGAGAACTGAGAGTCAGAGAAATTCTTCTAAGCTTCTATTCAACTTGCTTATACTGGGTAAAGCTGGATTGGTCTCTGCAGTGTTCTTAAGAAAAGACATCTGAACCAGAATATCAGCAATTTCCTGGAAATTGTGGATCAAGACTGGATGTAAATTTGAAATTCCCAATGCCAGACTGTGAGGAGACAATGAATTATTCTTGGAGCTCTCCAAGAATGATGCATTGAGCATTGAATGATGGTACTGATATCTCTTTTAGTTAAGATTGGGATGCTGATGGCATACATAACTAGATGTTGGTGGTGAATAGCATGCAAACTTCAGTTAGCAATCTTGCAAAAAGATGATGTGCGGAGATTGGCAGAGCACTGCAGGGAGAATCATAATAGATTTAGATTTTTATTTTTATTTTATTTTATTTTTTTTTTGGGTTGTTGGGGGGGGGGGGGGGGGGGAGGAAGGGAAACAGCTGGCCGCTGAAGACTGTAAATGGAGAGATTTGTGCAAGAGAAATAATTTGAGGCAAGAAGGGACCCATGGCAAAAAATTCACATGAAAAGAAGATTTATCTGGGCAGAAAATGGGATATTTCGTGAAAATGGATTCTGGAAGTGGAGATGATTGAGAAACCAGGATGGGAGCAGGGATTGGAGCCAAGGGATGGAGGTTGGAGGGTGTGTGAATGAGAAAATTTGGCTGTGAGGTGCTGGCAATTCTGGAGCAGATCTGTTGGCTCTTTTATAGTGACTCTCAGTGCATTGATGCACTTGTCATGTTGCTCCTCACCAGCATGGGTGATGGGGAGAATTCCTCTGGTCCTCAAATTTGCTAGAGGATGCTGACATGTCCATCCCCTCAAAAACATGTTCTGGGGATTGATATCTGGTGCCCTGTGCCAATCATGTTTGATCATCACAATTTCCAAGGCTCACATGTCCTGCCTGTGTTTCATGACACTGCTCTCTGGCTGGACTTGCAGGTGCATACTGGAACCACAATGGATGTGGTAATTTTGCCATTGGTCAAGGAATGAAAGCGGGAGCCTGGGAAAGAGCCTTGGTGGGAGAAGGTGGTACTAGATGGAAGGATATGAGCCTCGCCCCAGGACATACTGTTCCAGCTGCCACTCTAGCACTGTAGCTTTGGGATGACTGCCAGCTGCTCTGTGGGCGAGGGGTGCACCAGGAGCCAGAAAGAGAGAACAGAGAAATCATGAAAAAGAGAAAGGCAAGAGAGAAGAAAGGTGGAAGCAGTCAATTGGGAAATTCAGGCTGCTACTCGGAGCTGTTGATTGGACAATGATGGGACAAAAACCATTGTGGCAGACAGGGTGGCAAAGATCCCAGCTGCCCTGACTCCAGAACAAGTGAGGAAATACCACAAAGGAGGTGTGTGGGTGGGCAAGAAACCAATGGGACAGCAGTCCAGCTGTCAAGATCCATCTGACAGGTATTTGGTGGGCTCTGCAGGCGCAGGATGGAAAGGGGGTGAGGGCCAGGTAGCATGGCATCATCCCTGCAGTGGGAAGGAGGCAGTGCGCCTGGGCACAAGGGACAGGATGAGAGAGAAAGAGAACAAGAAAGTATAAATCATTCAAGGGTGCGTGGCCAGGTTTTTTAAATTGAGCAGTCGGGAGAAAGCAAATCTTGACCTGATTATTTGTGTATGCAATACTAACCATGCACTCGATCAGCTGCTTTAGCAGCTGGTTAAGGGTGGAGTAGAGCAAGTCGTACGCATAGGTTCGAGGTCAAAATAGTCTCTTATTTAAAGTATCAATCTTGATAACGTGTCCTGGAGATTGCCCCAAACCAAGATAGAGAAGGCTATCAAAGGGAGATACTTCGGGCTCCTAGACGAAGAACTGGGCCGAATCGAGAGAATTTTGCCGAGCTTCCAACGTCCACAGACCTGGCAAAATATTCAAGTGTATCTCATGGGGAATTTACGCCGCTATGAGGAACTTTTTGGCCTAGAAGACGACAATGATGGGTTCCAGAAAGTTCGAATCAAGTCTAACAAGGCGATTAAACGCTGGCTTAAAGGGAAAGCACCTCAGCCAGCGACATCGGGACGCCCTATTCCAGAGCTGCATGATATTTCCTTGTGGGAAATGACAAGAAGCAAGCGAAAAAGGCTCTATAATCACTGGCATCATCAGAGCTCAAACGAATTGTCTTCTTGATTATCTTGACGAATGCCGGAAGGCTAAAAATAGAGTTTAATCATGGTGTATGCCAGGTAGAATGCGGCAGGTCTTATAGGACTTGCAGCCATGCATGCAAATCTCCATGCCATGGTGCGAGCCCATGTCCACTTTGTGAGCGACCATGTGAAATCTGATGTGCTCATCTGCAATGTGGAGGGAAATGCTATGAACATGAGAACCGTGTGCTGAAGAATGCAACTGGAACTATGCGCACGAGGGAAAGTGTCGGCTGCCTTGTGCTATTCCCTGCGATGTGTGACCATGCTCGGAAAGGTGCCCAAAGATATTGAGATGCGGCCATCAATGCCCATCAATTTGTGTTGAAGCTTGTCCGGACTCTGAATACTGCCAAATATGCGCGGACGAACCAAGAAAGCAGGCAACAGCTGATTATATTATGGGAACAACATATGCGGATATCAATATCGACAAAAATCCTTACATCTTTCCTTCAAGCGGGCATGTCATCAGTATGAAAAGCCTGGATGCATACCGGGACATGGCAAAATACTATGTGGTGTCCCAGGAACCAGGCAAAGGGAATATCATTGTGGGCTTGAAGCCTTCCGCACCATTATCTGAAACTGAGTATAAACGCTGTCCTGTTTGCCGTGGTTCCTTTGACGATATTCGCAGATACGCCCGGATTGATGAAGCGACGAAAAAGTTCATCGCGTGGGCGCATGAAAGTTTCCTTCCATTGGTAGATGAAATGGTTAATGTTCAACTAAAACTCCGGAATAGCGAAAATAACGAGCAAGTTCCTGCAGGGACCGACACAATAACCCTCCAGCTAAAAGGTCCAGGTCGTGAACAGATAAGCAAAATCGCCAAAATTGTGTGGCCAGACGAAAGATACCACAAGGTTCTGAGGCTTCGTCGAAGAATATGGCAATTTCTCGCGAAGGTTGATGAATCCGAGCAACCATTCCAGCGCATACACGCGCTCATGGATATAGCCACTGAATTAAAGGGAGGCACCACCCTCCTTCAAGTGCGTCACCGTCCTTTAGCTACTGCACTCTTGCTTCGATGCGACTATTCTATTATTTGCCAGTTTTTGAATATAACCGTACGAGAGGCGGGAACAGGCAAAATCAGTGGCGATTTCAGCATCAGTAGAAAATGCTGTGAAAAGCTAATCGAAGAATCTCAGCGGAGAACGTGGCCGGCCATTGTGGTTGAAGAACACATTTTCTGGGCCCAATGCACTGCACTGGAACGTGGAAAAAATAAAGGTTCCAAGGAGCTTGTAGCCGAAGCCAGGGTGCATCTGCAGCAGGCCAGGAGTATGTGCCACCGATTTCCAGGACAGACGGTTGGGCTACTGGCCGAGATATCAGACATGGACGAGATGTTGCGCAAATCGACATTTTATATTCCTGTCACTAATAAGGGACGGGCTTCAGTGTACGCAGCGATGGCGGCCGAGTTTCGGGAAACCGGCCATTGGTATTATTGTAAAAATGGTCATCCGTTCACGATTGGAGAGCGCGAAATGCCAATAGAGGAGGCCGTGTGTCCACAATGCGGATCACCCGTAGGGGGTCGTCAGCATGAAATGGCCACTGGGGTTACACGCGCCATCGAACTGGATGACCAGTTAGGACGGGTTACCGTTTGACTGCGAGGATGCTCCAGTGTATCATGTGTCATCCACAGAAACCCAGCAGCGAAGCTGATCGGCTGGGAAATCATGCGAAAATTCACGATGCATTTAAGAATATGGACAAGACATTATGGGGAATTCCTAGATGGATATGGAAATTGAAACTGTAACTAGCCCATGCTAGCTTTGACACTGAAAAATTAGCCATTATTCAAATTTAATAGAAGCAACTTTTCTTGTTCTGCATTCTCTCTTCTCTGGCCTCTCATTTATGGGGAGTAACATTGAAATCGGGATGTGCTCCGAACGGACGGCTCCCGTTGTTAGTTAACTAACCCCTTTGGGACAGCTGCCTCCCTCTCCCAGGAAAAAAAAAAAAAAAAAAAAAAAAGGTCCCATTCGCGACGTCACTTGGTTCAACAGAGATTCCGAGCTGGTAAAAGGGTCCAGGAATGCCACTCTCTCTGCCTCGAGTCTTCGCTAGTACAGCCCGGCTAGTCCAGGCCTCACGTCGCACTTCTTCTCCTCGTTCCGTTCTACAGACGCCACGGAAAACACCGCTGTTGTCATCCATCCGCCCCTATTCCGCCCCTGCCCCTCACCCCAAGCCCAACGCGCAACACCAGCAAAAGTCCGAATTCAAGATCTTCCCTATAGTCGTCCTTCTATTACTCAGCTCGGGGTCATACGTGCTCCTAGTGAGATCGCGCAGACCTAAGGATGTCGAGCCAAACTGAAAACTCTACGGCCTCCGAGCCCGTAGTCACTCTTGCTCCCGCTCCCGCTCCGTTGACCGTCGCGCCCGAACTAACCCCTCCATTAACTTCGAACAACACCACTCCTAGATTCTCAGAAAAAGACGTGTCGGTGATATTCGTCCTCGGCGGTCCCGGCAGTGGAAAAGGAACCCAGTCCGCCAACCTCGTCCGGGAATATGGGTTCTCCCACCTATCGGCGGGCGATCTCCTGCGCGCAGAGCAAAACCGTGAAGAGAGCCAATACGGCGAACTGATCCGGAACTATATTCGTGAGGGTCTCATCGTGCCCATGGAAATCACCGTCGCTCTACTTTCCAACGCAATGGCCGACATTCTCGCGGAGAAAAAGGCGCAGAACCAGCTTATTCCCGGCATACCATCACGGTTCCTGATCGATGGGTTCCCGCGCAAAATGGACCAGGCGATCTTTTTCGAAGAGACTGTAGTCCCATCAATGGCTACTTTGTTTCTCTCGTGCCCGGAAGAAATCATGCTCAACCGCCTGCTGAAGCGCGGGGAAACAAGTGGTCGTTCAGACGATAACATCGACTCGATCCGTAAGCGCTTCCGGGTCTTTGTGGACCAGAGCATGCCTGTGGTCGATCATTATACGAAAGAGGGCAAGGTCATGAGTGTTTCCTCTGTTGGATCTGTAGATGAGGTGTACAGCGGGATCAAGAGGGAGATTGAAGCGCGGGGGATCCGGCCTGTGCAAGAGAATTAGGACTCGGCTGTGGCTATACTTCACTCTTCACTCGCATTTGGCTTCTCTTGGTAGATATAGATCTTCCCTGGCAGCTGCATTCCAGGCCTAATATTGTGATTGCTATTTGACAGGGCACCTATAAACTTCATGGTTGTTGGCGTTAATTTTACTCCCTGGTTACAGCAAATTTTGCGCGTACTCTTATTACTCTCCAATTCAACTGCATGCCTTTGGGCGCGGTCTTTTTCCCACCCCCAGGCCGAGAACCCCAGACATGATTATACAGAAATGAAGGTAGAATTTTCTCACGGGTGCACAAATGTTGCTCAAATTGACCATCTTTATTTCTTTAAACCCATAAAGTATGTATCATACGCAACATGAAAAAGGCCATGCAGAACACCATGCTCAAAAGGGTGACGTAAAAAGGTTTGATGTCGACATGGTGGAGGGAATAAAGGAAGTTGTTGTCTTGTCCACCCCTCAATATCTTGCCGCCTTGCAATACGTTCTCCTTTTTTCCGTTTTTTTGGTAGCCAGCGATGGACATATCCAAATCCTGCCATTTTCTCGCCATCAATAATATCCACCGCATCTCGCATTTGGGATAAGGGGTTCGAGCGGATCATATCACAGGGATAGGGCGAAAGACGGCTTTCAAACGATACGGAAGAATTGAGGGGTGCTGGCGCGGCGCGGGGGGTGAGGGCGTTTATCGGTACTATCAGGGGAATTCGGTCAACATCTTCAACCATTTCCAACAGGGTAATTAAAACGGCGTTGAGAGCCAAGGAGGTGTAATCCTATATACCTTCACGAAACCGATATCTTGCGACTTCTCTCTGAAGCACTACAACTCAAAATGTCAGTATCTCTTTCCTCGTATAAATGTAAAAACAGAGGATATTCGCTTCATACCTGACGGCAGACAAGCAGACCGTACTTGCGGATCAAACCAGCCTTGTGGGCGCAAACACGGCTACATTAAACACCCCCATTAGCCTTCTGTACCCATTTCTTCATCCAGCCTTCAATTCCGCTTGCTCCTCCGAAAACCGACGGTTTACACAAATTTGCAAACAGCAGCTTCACTCCTCATCTTCCAAACAATTCGTTCCCAAAATCAACACAGAGAAAGGTGGGTAGGTATATTGCATACCACTGACGGCTGCCCTTGCCGTAGTTTCTTGGCCGGCTGTAAAACACGGACTCGTGAGTCATCTTGAAGAGATTCGGATTGTCTTTTTCCTTCCTCGGGGAAAAAAGGCTAAGGCGGTCGCAAGAAACGGGGGGGTTTGGTTGTCGCGTCTGAGGTCGTTCGCTGGCGATACGGAGAGCGAGGAGAATTGTCGCTGTGAGCTTCGGCTTGGTTTCGCTGCGCTTGTGTGGTGGTATATTAGGTAAGCATATGGATTCGTTAGCGAGAGCCTTACCGCTTTGGAACTAGCGCTGAAGTCTGGGGTGCGAAAGACACAGCGCTTTACCAATATGGGTTGTGGTAGGGTTGAGCCCTAGATCAGATAAGATAATCGTACCAGCGAATATCTTCCGCATGTATCCTTGAGGCTGCAGTCAAGAGGTTGCACGGCGCTCATGCTGCCAGGGCCATTGCATAATGTATTCGTGTTCACGTTCTTATCTATCTCGTCGCATCCGGGAAAGAAATTACTAAAATGGGGAAGACATAAAGCATAGCAGAGACGTAACCAGCGAGAAAATAAAATAAAAACGAAAGTCGGAACACAAGAACGCCAGTGATATCGCCATCCCTTTTTAGTCGCCGCCAACTAAATCAACCTCCCGAGGTCCCTGGTGACCACCACCTCCCCGTCTTCTTTCCCCTGCACCTCCCCGAGCACCGCCTTCCCGGCCAGACTCGGCGGCGGCGTTCGCTGCCGCAATACCCTCCCGAACAAACTTCTCCTTTTCTGAATGAATGACACCAAGCACATTCTCCAAACTTCTTCGCCAGACCATCAATCGTCCCTGAACCTCAGCCCACTGCCTTTCACCGAAGACACGGTATGTCGCTCTGTGAACGAGGAATTCGCCTTTCAGCTGACTCAACTTGCCCTCCACAAGGCCGGCACGGATCGTGTCAATGACCCATTTCTCAACATCCTCACGTGGAATTCGGAGAGCGTTAGAAATCGAGTCATACGGTAATGAGCGAGAAGGAGTCGATGCAGCCAGACTAGCAAGCGTAAGAACTCGCATCTTGTTCTGCAAAATCTCAGCAGACTCCGCAAGGTTGTGCATAGACGAGAGAGGTGTAGATTTGATAAACTCTTCGTAAGCGTCGAGCGTATCAGAAGCGAATATCTCGAGGAGTTCGAACAAAGAAGGCTCCGCCGATCGTAGGTTCTGGATAGCATCGCTTGAAGTCAAAGGAGTAAAGTCGAACACAAACGGATAAGTGAGAGCCGAGATCAAGGCCCGCACAGCCAATTCACGGGCTTCGTTCGACGACGCCTCCGAAGGTGGGATGGCCTGTAATGCTAGGATAACATGGTTGTACGACATCTCCTCATCACCGGCCTTCTTTGCCGCATCTGCAACAGCCAAATGCAACTTTTCCACATCTTCTTCATCAAGGTTCCACGTCGCAATCCAACTGGAGAGCTGGTTCTTAAGTTGAGTCTTAAGAGCCTCGAACGCCATGACAGAGGAGGTGGTGCGGATAACGGCCAAAATGGCAAGGAAGACATGATATCTGCTGTTATCGGAGGGTGCAAGGGTATTAAAGATGGTGCTGAGGATGGAGAGGGCAATAGACGGTCCATGCTGAGGGGACGAGGGGAATGGTTTGGCGAGAAAAGCGCAAATTCGAGGCAAGAACATGCCCGGGTTGGAGGACTGGCGGACAAGGTGAATGACGAGGTTATATGCGGCGGTAATTTCTGTGCAAAAAAGCCAGAGAGCAGCTAAGTCAGCCATGGACTACAACCGGGATGAAACAACGGGGAACATTTGTATATAGATATATAAAGCGGATAACCGCAATGAATTCTTAAATTTGGAGTTCATGAACCCACCTTTCTCAGGCGCCGCATTCAGCGCTGCAGATGCGACAACCAACTTCTTCAACACCTCATCTCTTTCCTTTAAGATCTGCTGTTGCTGGGCTGGCTTGGGCTCCTCCTCCGACTGCTCCTGTTCGCGTAACTTGTCGAGTGCGGGCGCGATTTCCGCGTGGACAGAGCCCTCGGTTTGAGTTTTGCGGATGGTGTCGACATAGTGAGCCAACTCCTCCGCAAGCTCAGAGAAGGTACCCTCAATGAGGAGGGTATTTGTGGGGGCCGCCATAGCTCTCTCTGTAGTTAGACCGGGAGGGAGAGAGGAGCGAAGAAATGGATCAAGAGAGGGAGGTCGTGCTGAAGACTGCCTTGGCTCTCGTGAATGCAAGTCTCAATTGTCTGAATGGGTGAAATTTCTTGTGTGGATGGAAGTCTTGGCAAAGTCAGTCCGGCCACCAAAATATTTGGATTCTCTCAACCAACACAATAGCACTCCGGCGACCTACACTTTGCTACATTATCCTAAGGAAGAACTTTGACGGGTTCGGTGCCGGATCTCCTAATCAGACATTCGATCTTATTTATTTATTAATTTTTTCCCCCCCAAAAGCGGGACCCGAAAATCGGATTATTTCTTCCATGGACGTGCGAGACACTATTATTCGTAACCGATACATCATAATTCCATGCAAACGCTAAAAAACATGAAATAAGCATGGGAAGAACACAAATGAAGTACTGTATGGGGAATTAAGCTGATCGTCGGAACAGAGCTGCAGCCTATATTACATGCAGAACCTCAGCAGAGTATGTTGCAGCACCCTATTGCAGGACCAGCAACAAAGGAGCGTCCGAATAGCTGGACATGGAGTGCACAAAGCGAGAACATCTTTAAACAAGGAAGCCGAAAGCTCCAGCGAAAAGGCAGGTCAACATTCCGAGTGAATAATCCTGAGCCACGTGAAGAGCAGGAGCAGCATTGGAGGTCGCTGCGGGGCCACCAGCTGAAGTAGCAGCCTCAGCGTCAGACTGAGTTGCGGTTGCGGTTGCGCTGGAAAGAGTGGTCGATGTGGAACCCGAACCACTAGCTTCGAGCGAGCCGCACAATTTCCGCTGCCGCTGGCACTCCCTTTGGCCTTCGAGGTCATTTGGATGGTTGTCGATGCATTGACCAAAGTTTGCTAGGCAAACAAAGTACGGAAGAGTGTTTTTATAGTCCTCGACCTTGGGAACCGTTCCGTCGCCGCAAACACATTCAAAAGTCAATTTACTCTATTCAGCGAATGGCAAAGGACACTATCAGCAACATGTTTTGAGGATTGTGTTTTTGCGCTGCTACACGCCAGGGTCAACAGTTGGGATCATGGACTCACCGCGTCGCATCTGTTGACTTTGGCAAAACCATCGCAAAGCTTTGGGCAGGTGCTCGATTGGGCATCGCACCAACTAGCTGCACGATTTGTATTAGCATGCATGTTGCAACGGGTAGAAACTCGCGGAAATGAGCCTTTTTCACCCACCTTTCACGCTGGCTTCAACAGCTGAAGGATCGAAGCCGGCAGGGGGTGTATAGGACGACTGAGCGGAAACCGCAGCAGCGAGGAAAGAGACAGCAATCCAGAGAGTAGAGGGCAGCATCTTCTTGGACAGTGATTAAAGGAGTTGGAGTTGCAAATTTCTAGAAGTAGTGCGGGATAGCAAAGAAAATATAGCTTTGAGTTTTAAAAAGAAACTCGCTCAGTTCAGAAAAGAAAGTGTGACAAGCTCAACTAGCAGCAAGCTATTTTAGCTATGTGACACAATTGCAATTTCACCTCACAGTGAAGGGAGAAAGAATGGTAGAAGCAAGAGGGCGAGAGGATGAGGAGTGGGGAGGGAAGTCAGATTAATGTTGTGTTTCCCAGCAACGAGAACGCAACCAGAGAAGGGACCGGGAGATCTGGGTCTGGTGAGCTCGGTAGTTCGCTCGAATCCACTCCAAGCAGCGACCTCTTGGCTAGTTAAACAAGCAGTTCCCCCGGCGGCGAGTGACGGTGGACAGCAGCAGCCACCAGCACCACCGTCTGGCAGGCCCAGCCTTTTCCTAAATTACAGTGCCGGGAAAAGGGAATTCGGAAAATGGCACAGGTGAGAAGCCACTGTTCCAATTGCATGCTTTAGTCCGAGGAACGCATTTCCCTTCCAATTCCCTGCTGTTGCACATGACTTTATTGACTTGCCCAGTCCTTAGCTGGTCGCCCGCCACCGCAACTGTAAATTAGGTTGACTTCGCTCGAGATAAACTCCCACCAACCATCGCAGCCTGGATGAGGCACAGACAGAGGTGGATTACAGAGGTGCTCTGGAGATAGTGTATATTCCGTACATGTGTAACTATGGGGTATAGAGTACAGGGTTCATAAAAATATACAGATTAAAAAAAAGAAGGAAAAATACTGATTTGGACTTCAACATCTGGATCCATGGAAAGGAAGGCCTGCTTTGACAGGGTTCTTCTGCTTCACAACATTTTATGAGGACCCCACAGGCAGTGTTTTGAGTTCGTTAACTTAGCAGAGGTGCAGAGATTTGCGCAAGTTTTGTCTCGAGATAAGAAAAGAACAGAACAGACTTCTGCACAGACACGTGGGATCTCCAACCTTCTCCTTCAAACAGTGTCATTCTCAGGCCCTGTTATATTTTACCAGGATGCAACTCAGCTGGGGCGAGTGACCAAAAAAAAACATAGATCAGCTATTTATATGCACTTTAATGCTCCTCAACCTATCTCTGCACGGAAAGCCAACACAAGAAATAAGCAACTCCCGCAGGATAGCTCCAGTATCATCACATTCACAGCCTGAGCTCATTTATGGGACATGATATATAGTAATGAACTGCAAACTACAGAGTAGCCCACAGGTAGCTTATTCTTCCGGTCGCATCGAGGATTCTATGGCGGCTAAACTGCCGGGTAGGCGATGAATTACCACGCTGCCTAAAGCCTGTTATTTGCGCCTTTTTCCACAAGGATGTTATGATGTCTCAGGGTTCTAATGTCCTTTACGAGTGAAGACAATGCGATCGGAGAGAGTGGCTACATCTTCTGACACCGAGGCTAGCCATCATTATATTCCGGCGCTGACAAAACCCTCTCGCGCTCAGGATCTCATACTCCGTACATCGCCTGCCAACTCATCGCCAGGAACACGTGGAATGAGAATGGACACTGAGAGCATGCCGTGTCCTTAGGGACTCACCGTAGTATGCCGCTTTTAAGGACTGGTGAACCGGCCATGCAGGCGACTTTCATGCCTTGGAGGCAACTCGCGGGTAATAATATCTGTATTCTGTCTGGAGGACTCCGTACGGAGTACGGAGTCCAGAGTCCAGGGATCGAAAATATGACGTGATTGGTCAATCAAAAACTCGATAGTGAGAGGCCTGGCCGCTGGTGTCAATGAAGCTTGATTTGCCGATCGTCGATCGACAAGTCAACAATCCGGACAGGGGGATGATCAATGCTGCGCAGATAAGGACGATTGGTCGCGCATAAAAATTTCGATCGATTTTCTTTTCTTTTTATCTTATTCTCCTTCATCTTTCAGAACGATCTGCTCTTGCCGGGAGAACCACCCAATCATTAAATTTATAGATACAATTTGGTGAAATTACTCCATACTCTGTTCCCTTACCGTCTCTTGGCCACAGACTATTGGGGGAGGGCCGGGGTTTCTCCCTAACCCCACGCCATCAGCTCGCTGAGAAATAACTCCAGACTGAAAACACCTCAGTGAAACTCTTATCACGAATAAATGGCGGCATGTGTGCCGGACGAGCGCTCTGTCGCAAACTCCCCGCATCGTGAAGCCCCCTTGTCCAAGGAGATCAGAACGCCAAAGGGGCATGTCTGGATTGATGCGCCCTAGGTACTTCGATTTCGTTGATGAGTGAATTGTTTCATCTTCTAACGGCCGAGGTCGTCTTCACTAGGCGTCTGGGCTTGTATTCTGCAACATCGTTGCATCCCGGAGATTGACCAACCGATGAAGTCGAAATTGGCTTCAGGGGTCTCAGGAGTATCCAGACTTCCTGTAACTTTCTGCGACGCTGTCTGTCACAGGCTCACGAGAGATCATAGCACATTTACGCTGTATTTACAGCACATACTCCAGACAGTACAGACCAAATCGAAAAAGGGCATTTTTACCAATATTCCAAGGCTCTCTTTAAGAGGGAGTGACTTTTTCATCATTCAGTCCTCCAGGAGACGGAATATTACAGTGCAGACTGATCGAATCACCACAGTAGTTCCGGTCATTTTACTATGTTATCAAGACGCATCAGGGCCCTGGCTCTGCTCCAGACAGCGATGCCTCGTGGAGTCTTTTAATTTTTTTATGCTCTATTCCTCCTCAGTCACGTACCCGCTCGAGCGCCGCTCCAACTCTTCCTTCATTGATTCTTTCTTCTCTGACCATTCATGCTTCCATTCCTGAGTGACGTCGACTCCATTAATCTTCACCACAACTGTCTCCTCCGACATCGCATCAACTAAGAGTACAGGTTCCCTCGTCCGGATCCAATCATGGAACTCCACAAATTCGTAAAATTTCCTCTTCGGGCAGAGGCCCATCTCCCTTCGCAAAACCGCCATTTTGAGGTCTCGGTGCCAGTCGGGGCGACCTTCATACGCGGGGCCGATGAGCCACGCCGTGGTCTTTGGTGAATTAAAGTATGACATATGCCTGTCATACAGGTATCGCATCTCGTCTATCACGTCGTGTAGGCGACGGGCGTGTGGGTTCTCTGGGATATTTGCGAGAATCACAGCGTTTTCCGCAAGGACCAGTATGACCGTGCTTTTGTCGAGATGGTCCACGCCTATTAAAGGTGTCTTTGAAAAGGGCGAGAACTTGAGTGCATAGTCGGCCGACACCGAAACCATCCGGTGGTCATGCCAGACATGGGACCGTTCATGGTTTCCAATTTCACAGGGAGTCTGGGTTGATTTGTCAAAAGCGGCGGTATCTTTGCTTTGAGGCGATAGCTCAGTTTGGGTAGATTTGTCTGCGAACTCTTGTCCAGTCATTTTATCTGCAAGGCGCGGGGCCATTTCCTTCTTGCTACATATAGCTGTCCTAAAAGCATTCCAAGTTAAAATTTCGTCCCAGAGTAGAACAGCAAAAGGAACGGGGCATCCATCGAAGACCCTGTAGCGGCCACAGAAACAAAGCGGCGTCCAGCATCAAAACAAGATCATGAATTGGTGACAGAAAAAAACCTAAGAGACAGCGAGTTGGTCAAGGACTCAAATACAGACGGCCTTTGCCCGGTTCTGTTTCCACGTTCAATGCAGGTCAAGAGCCACGCCTGCCAACGTCGGAGCATGTCTTACACTCAAAGCAATGACCATCAGAAATACGAGGAAGGCGGCCTCGCGCTTTGCTAGACAGCAGAAACGGCATCCATCATGAGGCTTCTTTTCCCTTAGCTTGCACAGTTATTCGTCCCGTCCTGGGCAACCAAGAAGCCCGAACAGTGACCTTCCGTTAGGCTAGCATGAAGGTAACCCGGAAGACTGAGTGGGTGCGCAGAACGACTTGGAGGCAAGCTTGGTGCGATTTAAGCCCATCTTTCAGTTACTTCACAATAACCAGGACAGTTTGCATAGTGACCACCGTCTCCCATCCGTAACGACGGCTACAGGAAGTCTGTCTCCGCAGGTTTGTCTGGCACTGTCTGTTCTAATTTCGCCTGTTATCAATCTTATCGCGATGAGTCAGCAGCCTTGGCGCGCTTGTGCCGAGGTAACCGACCCCAGCCCAAGTTTAGATCCGGCGGGAATTTCTTCTCCTATCAATAACATTTGACAACAGCCAGGGATTGGAAGGGTCCTTTTGCCCAAAAGTCGTTGCTTTGCACACCCGGGATTTACTGGGCCTTTTATACTCTGACCTTGCCATCCCCTGAGGTTGTGGATCACTGAAACTTTCCCCCCAAGTCGAGCTCTCCGCAGAAGCATTTCCTTTGAACAATGGCGCAAGACACCAATTCCTCCACAGACAAAGAAATACCATTCACAATCCCTCCCGCCACCTTAGCTGTCTTTCAATCGAGCCCATGGACGGCCTCCCTGATCTCCAAATCCGACTACAGACCCATCGAGACCTCTGCGCGGGTTAAGAAACCTCTCGGTGAAGATGCCTTCTTCGCAGAAACAATAGCCACGCCGACTACGATTCCACATTGTCTCAGTCTCCAGCGACGTAACCCCTCTCCACCACCGTCAGAGGCCCCTTTCCTGCCTCCTCCGCCAGCGAAATGGCCCAAGATAGCCACTCCGCCCGATTTGATCACCCTCTGGGATTTCGGCAACCCAGGGATCAGTGGACACCCTAATACGGCGCACGGGGGTGTCCTTTCGACATTAATTGATGAAATGATGTCCGTCGCTATTGCAATGCATATTCCGGGGTATACCTTCAATGAAGCTACTGAACGCGGAAGGATATACACACTACAATTGGACGTGCGATTCAGAAATCCCGTTTACGTCCCCGGACTGGCGGTTCTGAAGGTGTGGTGTATTGCAAAGGTTGGAAGGAAATTCTGGTTGAGGGCGCAGATCCTTCAGGAGGAGGGACTAGGCGAACAGAACGGTGGTGCCCAACCGCTGGAGTGGGCTAAAAAGAAAGTGGTTTGCGTAGAAGCGATGGGATTCTTCGTGCAGACGACGAACGAGAAGTTATAGCCGCACCTGTCTCATTCATATTATAGCTCGATATCGGGGTATCCTTTTAAAGATAGATGAACTCTTTAGATATACGAGAGAGATACCATAGAGATATTAAAGAAATAGATATCTTTAATTCTGACGGAGTCTATGTACGGGACTAGAAGCCTTAACTCTATCGATTATATACCAAGCTGAAGCAAAAAGGGGCTCACATAGCACATGCAATCAACGAGATTCGGCTGCCTTATAGCTTATTCGGCTTCGCGTTTCCATTCCCATTACTTCCTCTTTCGCTGGTATTTCTCTCTGCACCAACAACCAACGCAACGTGATTGCTCAGCGCAACAATATCACCCGCCTGGTCCAGAACCACAATATCCAAATCCATCCTCCCATTCTCCAACATCTTCGTGTGCACTCTGGAGTACAACCACTCCACCCCTTCTTTTGGCAATCTCTTCTTGAACTCCACATTCAACAACACAGTCGGATACCAGTACTTCCGCAGCTCATCCTTCTCCTCGCGCTGTCCCGCCCCCTTCCATGGCTTCGTATCAAACGTCTCCAACATCATCGGAAACATATCCACCAGGAAACCCAGCGTCTCATCCGTCCACCTCGACACCTGACCATACGGCTTAAACCGCACCCACTGCTCGACAAACCCACGCCGCACCTTCTCCAGCTCCCTAGGCGTGTATATCTCGATCTGTCTCGATGCCGTTCTCAGCGACGTAAACGGCACTTCGAAGCGCGACCAGGTCCCATCCTTCCCGTCCCTGACCAATCGCGCCAGATCCACCGGCGTGGAACCATCACCTCCGGGCGCAGGCGCGGGGGCCAGGTTGAATCCCGTGACCATGCTGGGTCCGTCCTCGGTGTCGAAGTTGGACACCGTGATGTAGCCCGCTACCTCCTCGCGGACGCCGCCGTTGCGGTCGTTCTGCGAGAGGGTGATGTGTAGAGTCGACGTGCGCGCGCCTAGTTTTGTGTCTGTGACGCTGAATGTTGCGGGTCCGGTTTCCGTGCGTCGGAGGAAGGTGAGGTGCATGGTGATCGGGTCGGCGCGGCCGTTGTGCATGGTCGGATGGGTCTGGCGCATGTGTGTGCGGGCGACGTTGAAGAAAGCAGATGCTACGTAACCTCCATTGGGAACTATCGCGTATTGAATCAGCTCAGGGCTTCCCTAAGACGAACGATTAAAAGAAAAGGAGAAAAGTGGGCTATATCGACATACCGGTTCCAATGCACCACTCCTTCCGAAGATTGGCGGCGTAGGTGTGCGACGAAAGCGGCTGGACGGCAATCGCCTCGCCAAAGCTGCGCGCCGGCCCAAGGGCCATCTTCTGTGCCATTTGTTCTTTTTCCGCCTTCTTTACTTTCCCTTTCTCGAAAGCAATCTTGACAATCCCACACAGACTGCGTACGCTTTTCGGTCCAGATTCAGAACAAGCAGCAGGAGCAATTCGACCTCGATCTATGGGGAAATCTAAGTTTAGAAGATCCCAGACAAAAAAAGGGTGCAAGGATTGACAATCCAAACAATATGAGAGAAAGAAGTAAACGACAAAGAATAGCTCACTAGCCCGGCATCAACCCGCATGTAATCGCGGCCCGCCAGCTTTCTCGGCACGGGGAGATGTCCCTGGCGCAAGGTTGAGTTTCCGCTGCACCTTGGAAGTCAAAACTACCTCGGCTGAAGCCGACGCCCCCTAGTTAGTCGGCGATTTGTTGACTAAGCCGATCCCTGCAAACAGCACAAACGTTTAAGGAGGCAACCAAAACGCCGAAAAGAAAGGGTGTTATCATTTAGCCGTTCCATTCTAGTAGTTATGTACAAGTCCAAAAGCTACCTGATACATCCCGTCCAACCTTCCCTACGCTCTGCTCTGTGCAGACACAAAAGTCCGACCCCCACGCTGGGGGGGAGAGAATAAAAAGGAGAAGAAAAAAGGTAAAACGATGCAAGATGGGAGTGGTCATGCCAGTCAAGAATCCAGAAGTCGCTCGCCAAGATAGCATTTCTTACAGTACACTTTTTCTTAAAAAAAAAAAAGAATGCGCCGAAAACAAAAAAAAAAAAATTGAAAAATACATATGTATAAATAGAAAAAACTTCCTTTTATCCGAAATAGGAATATTGTGTCGTCATGCATGGCGGGTTAGATTTTATAAGGGATCTCCCGTTCAGCCAGGTATTCGTTTGGTTCAACATCATGCGAAATCGCAGCGAGCTTTCCAAGGCAGGACAGGACTCCTACACGAACGTTAGCTTTTTATTTGGAAGATCATGCACTTTCTAGCTTAAGACGACTTACCCGTGACCCCTTGCGCCAAAGTAGCCTTTGCCTCCGTATTTGCCGAACCAAGGGTGACAGTCTCGATGTTCTCAATCAACTTCTTCTCTTCTAGTTTATTGGCCCAGCGGAAGACCACCTCATCTTCGCGGCCGTCGCCCGCCACGAACAGGAAATCCGGCTTGGCGGCACTGTCCTTGTCCTTCTCGGCCCGGGCCAGGATGTGCCTCAGCACAAGATCCGCCGCCGTGGCTTTGTTGGGGCTGATCGGCTCGGTTATCACCGCGCCATCGACGGCGACAGCGCGAATTCGGTGCTGCTGGCACGTGTCGTTGATGTGGTTCGCGCAATCCGACGCATGCCGTCCCGCCGTCTGAGGATCCTCGGCGTTATCGTAGTGGAAAACGAGAGAAGAGTGACGCTCTTCGACCCAGCTACCCTCAGTGCGTACGTGGAAGTAGTTGATCATATCAGCCAAGCTGTCCTTCCATTCCCGGGTCTCTTCATCGTCGATGAGTTTGATCCACTCCTCTCGGTGTGCTTCTCGAACGAAGCATCCGTTTTCGGCTATGAGGCCCAGACCGGGGACCTGGCGGAACAGCCGCTCCATCTCTTCCGGCATCCTGGAGCTCATCACGTAGATTGTATTCTTGGGATCCTCCAGCAGGTCATTAAGCGTGTCGATGGCTCGTTTCGGGGTTGTCAGAACGATGCTGGTAGGCGAACCCCACGAAGCGAGAGTCCCTTCGTAGTCGACGATGAACAGCCGACGAGACGATGCTCTGTATAACTTCATTAGGTTATTGACGGACAGTCGTGGGATCGACACGTTATCACGACAGGCCTGTTCGCTAAACGCTCTATCCAGGGCTTCGATGTAGTTTTTGACCCATTTGTCCGTGGTATGGGCATTGACCTGGTCGTTAAGCCTAGTCCACTGCTGCTCTCGTTCTTCAGGGGGCATCTCCAGAGCAGTGTTGAGCGCATCGGCGCATTGCTGGTAGTTCCACGGATTCACGAGTAAAGGATGCCCTTCAAAGACAGAGGCGCTCCCCGTGAATTCGCTGAGAATCAAGGGGCCATGCTTGTTGTTGGTATACTTCCCATCCTGGCAGTGGATGTACTCGTGGCTTGTCAGATTCATGCCCTCGCGCAGGCTTGTCACCATGAAGACGTCCGCCACCGAGATCAAGGCGAGGTACTGAGGGAAAAGGAGATCTTGGTTCAGGAAAACCAGGGGCTGGTGGGCAAGACTCGAGTGAAGCGAGTTGACCCGGGTTGCTATGTCTGAAATCGTCGCATCGAGTTCTGAATGCTCCGCACTTGAGGATGCAACCTGGATTAAAACCACCTTATTGTCGTGTCTTGTCAGCACATACGATTCTCTACCTTCTCGGTTTAGCAAGTGTGCTTTAGGATGTCATAAACTTACACTGTCTCTCCATTTGGGGTACTTGTTCAGGAAGAGTTCATAGGCAAGAAGCTTCTGTCTGACGCCACGGATATTGTCCAGCTTGTCTCGCGCGACCACGAGACGCTTCCCCTGGTATCTGTCTCTTATGGTACGCATCCAATTCTCAACGTCGGTGCCCTTGCGTCTCAGGTCCAGCGAAGGGGGATCGATTCCAATCGGGAACGTGCCAACATTGACAAAACGATCCTCCAGCTGGACGCCCTCGTTGGTGGCTTCGACCGTCAGGATCCTGCTACAGGTCTGAAGGAAATGATGACAGTACTCCTGGGTCTGGAAGCCAACCAGGTTAGCACCGAGGATGCCGTACAGCAGCTCCTTGCGGACAGAAAGACACCTGAACACCTCGGAGGAAGGAAAAGCGGTATGGAGGAAGAAGCCGATCTTGGCATCGGGCAATTGCTTGCGGATCATGGACGGGACGAGGAGTAGGTGGTAGTCATGGACCCAGATGATGTCACCACGCTTCCAGTTGCGCACGATCCTGTCGGCAAAGGCCTGATTGACGGCCTTGTAGTAGACCCAGGAATGGTCCTCGTAGGCTTTGCTCTTTGGGTTGTCTGGGATCTGGGTAGTGGAACACGGGCCAGAGGATCGTCTTGCAGAAGTGAAGGTAGTGGCCATCGAAATCGGAGTCGTTCGCGAAGACGGTCAGGCAGGCATAGTCAACGTCCAGTTTCTCGGCGATGGTGTCCTTGACGTGGTCTTCGAGGGCGTCGGTGGGCATGCCCAGGGTGCCAACCCACAATTTGTCCTGCGGGGCCTCGAGGTTGGCGGAGCGGATGGCGTTGAAGAGGCCGCCGTTGCCTTGCTCGGAGGGTTCTATGGTCCATGCGGCGTCCGAGAATGCTTTTTCCGGCGGAGAAGATTCGGGACGTTCCTCGAGCTTGACCGGGGTGGAAGCCCGTTTGACGAGTTTCGGTGCCGGGCCGGCGATGCTGTTGTGCTGGAGAATTGAGGAGGAGGGAGACTGGCTGGGGCGGGGTCTGGGCTGGTTGAAGACGCCGGTCGCGCCCCAGAGGGGAGCATGGGGGTCGCTGGGGGTGAGCGGCTGCTGCCTGCCGTCCTCGGTCCTCCGCAGCAGGTCCAGCGGGGTGAACTTGTCTGGTGTTGGGGCGAAAAGGCGCGCATGGTCCTTGAGGAGGTGTTTTGGTGCCGTGGTGGAGGTGGGAGAGGACGAGGAGGACGAGGAAGTAGGCCTCTTGGGGAAGAGGGTGTTGTGGGCTCTCCGGTTGAAGTCGGAGCTCTCACGGCGGTGGTGTCTCCTCCGAGGGCTGGACGGGCGTCTCTGGGAGGTTCCTTCGGGGAGGATGAAGTTCACGGTGTTCGGAAGGAAGCTACATCGCGACAGAGAAAGAAACAAACAACGCGTGAGAAAGAGCTGGCATAAGATGATAAAACTCAATGCTTGGGGGGCGCGGGGGGAACGGCAGAGGGAGGGGGGAGAAGAAGGCGGGACAATTGAACTTCGGTCCAATTGGAAGGGAGTGAACTTACAGAGAGACGATGAAGATAGTCATTGTGGAAGACGCTTTTTTTTCGGCGGATGTAACGATCGATCAAGAGCGGGCCATGACAGCGACTGAGGATGGGGGTGTGTGGGATGCGGAAAAAGAAGAGGTAACGGGGGAGAGGGATGCGGAATCTGGTGGGTGGTGGAAAGCTAGAAGAAAGCTTGGAAAAGGCTTGTTACAAGCACATGGCTGGCGGGCGCTGGGCCGGGGACGTGGTGGGAGAGGCGCGAGGATGAAACCGGGAACGACTCTTACTATGTTAGGTTAAATAAGGTGGGCAGACGGCGAGGGAAAATTCGAGACGAGCGGACAAAACAAGTAAAATTCAATTCAGATGCAAATCAACGTGATGATGACGACGACGAAGATTCATGATGTAGTTAAGGCGGATTGATTGCGGATGAATTTGCATTTGATCCAACTAGTTAAACTACCCAGTTTATCCAAAATGTAACTAAACAAGCCAACGACTGGGGGGGTTTGCTGGCTTGGCTTGCAGTGCATCTCGAGCTGAGCAGTCCATTGACAATGGCTAACAAGGGTGGATGCTTTTGTTATTTTTTTTATTTTTTATTTCTCCCCCTTTCTTGCGACGGCCTCTGCTCAACCAAGCAGATATAAAACACACACAACAAGCGCATCAGAGTGTCCAACGAAGCAAGGCGATGCGATAGCCGCAAGCTGGTTACGTCATGCATGGGCGGGCCGGGGATGATGAGCACCAACGGCGGCGGGCAGACCGGGCAGCAGCGGGGGCACGATGGCCTCTTTTCCACGGTCTTGGGTGGTCCCTGTAGGTCACGGCGATGGAGAATATGTATGCCAGAAACAGGCTGCCTGGTTGAATCTGCCCGCCTCTAAACAGGGCTGGGGGCGTTGCAAGACGGGCGCGATGGCGAGGAGACAAATGACATGCCGATGCAGCTCTTGGCGGAGTCTAGACTGCAGGAAGTCATCATCTTCTTGTTTTCTTGTTTTCCTCCGTCTTCTCTGTCTTCTTCATAGGTTGTATTGCGGAAACTAATAGAGTTCCCTGTTGGTTTTTTTTTTTTTTTTCTTCACTCAGTTCCACTAGCTAATCAAAGCAGTGACAAGACAGAGGTACAAAAGAAAGAGAAAAAGAGAGACAAAAAGAGATATCAAAAGTGAAAAGTGAAAGAGTGTGACTTGTAATGTAATTGTGTGTAATGGAACATGTATGTATTGTCATGTACGGAGTACTCCATACGGAGTATTGTGTATTCTGTATTGCGCCGGTAACTGGATGACGTAATTTCAATGTCCAGCCAATCACAGAAGGAGATTGCCGCGGTTTACCTAATCCCGACAGCCGCCGTGATGACTAATAGAGAGCGGAAAAAGCGACCGAGAGATGGAGAGAGAGCGAAAGAGAAAAGAGATATGAGATAAAAGAGAGAGACGGGAATGACCGGAAAGAAGGGAACGGGAATGCGACGAAGCAACAAGATGTGATACCATGCCTCTCCAGTTCACCGCAGCCCCCTCCTCCCGCATCAGAAAGCCCCCGTCCCGCTCCCGATCCACCGCGTCCTCCCCCTTCGCCCGTCTCCGCCGCGCCAAGCCGAATCGTCGCCTGCAGCGGGACAGCGGGAAGGAGGATGAAAGGGAGGATCGGGATGGCAGCGGCACTGCCTATTCGCCCGATCGGCTACCGGACTTGGGGCCCTCCAACCACCTCGCCGAGACCTCTCTCGTCACCACCGTCGTCCAGGCCATCCAGCATGTCCAGAACACCATCTTCACCGACATGCCCGCCTCGCGCCCCGGCATGAACAGCACCCGCATCGCCCACGTCTTGAACTTCCGCCGATCCTTGCCGCCAGTCGTCTCCGTCGCCCACGTCCATGTCCTCCTCCACCCTCCCACCGCCGTCGAGAGGGAGATCGCCCACCTCGTCCACACCGCCCGTCTACGCCGCCTCTTCATCCCCGGCCGTGGCACCGCCCTGGCCGGCCTGGGCGACTGCCTGGTGCTCGTCGAGGACTGGGAGTTCCTCGTCCGCTCCAGCCCCTCCCTCGACGACTCGCTCAAGGGTGAGCAACCTACCACATCACCTCTTTTCCGCCTACCATCACTGACTCCCGCATGTCTTATTCTCTTAGATAAGTTCATACAGCTCATCCGCTCAAACACACAAACCTCCGCCGTCTCCGCCGCCCATTTCACCCCAGACGAAACCTCCGCCCTGGTCAGGGCCGGCTTTCTCGTCTCCCCATCCTCCCTCGCCAAGATCACTTCGTCCTCGATCAACCCCGCTGTGGCCCTCGCGTCCCCCACGGACGATGCAGCTGTCCAGCTGGCTCCGCAGGCCGACAACCAGTCGTCGTGGAGCAGTCGCTCCTTTCGCGACTCAACGATGGTCCTGTCCCTGCCCAACCTTGGCCCTTACCTGCGCCTCGTCAGCGCGGCACGCTCCCAGATGCTCTCCTTACTCGAGAAGTCCAAGTACAAAGAGGCGCCGCTGTCCCTCCTCAGGGATCGCTGGGACGGTGCCGTCGAGTCCCAGGCCCCATACGCCGTCGCGAAGCGTGCCAGGGGAGAGTCAAGCGGCGTCCTGCCGGGGCGCACGAAGAAGTGGAAAGAGCTCTACGGCATGAATTTTAGATGGGCCCTGGAGGAAGCCATTGGCGCTGGCTTGATCGAGATATTCGATACCGGCTGCGTCGGACCTGGTGTTCGACGGCTGTAGAACACTTCCACAAGTCCTACGACCTGAAACTCTATGATACAAAAAGGGTTGACTAATTAATTACCCGACGTCGGCAGTCGTCTAGCCAACACTGTTCACACTCCTGCAGGAGGGTCTTTTTCTTTTTTTTTCTTTTTTTGTTTTTTTTTTTAGTTGTCCTTTCCATGAATGCTGTAATAGCTAGATGTAAATTAGCTACAATTATAGAGGAACAATACTCTGTTACGGAGTACAACAAACTTGAATGGCGATTGATGCTAGATAACTAATTAGACAGCTTATTCATGTATTCTGTAGATATCCACCTAATTTGCGCTTGCTACGCGCCCTGGCAGGGTTTTAAGTTCTTCATCCAAGCTGCAGCCCAGTAAATGTTTCAGCCAGCTACATAAACATAACCGTTCGCATGGATCTGACATGGTTAGCTCACACCACATCATCTATTCAATGATATCCACAGAAGATACTGTCTATTTCCTAGCCATTCCCCCCAGCGGATGCACACTGGTCAATCCTACTCCTCAATGCTCTCCCATGTTGTTACACATGGGTAACTCCTAGCAAGCCCGCCGCAATCTCTAACTACTCCTTGTTACATTGATTTCAGGGAAACACCCTATCAGAGCTTTCCAATAGTTGCATGCTTTAATTCCAATATAACATGATCACATATAATACTCTGTATCCCATCCATTCTTCACTTTTAAAGCTCTCACAGCCATGAACATCGCAGAGATTGTCGCCATGCATGGCACAAATTCGGACCACCAGGCTCCGCACTCTGCCCAAGGTCCAATCCCCAGAGATACCTTTCCCATCTTCCACCCCTATCCCCTTTCACTCATTGACATCCCCTGGCACCCCCATCACAGCGCCGGCGGGGGCAGCGGCTCCTCCGCCGCCGCCGCCGCCTCCAACCAGCACCAGCACCCTGATCTCGCTCTCTTCCTCAGATACGTCCTCGACCAGGGCCGGGAATGGATGACCGCCCGCATGCCCTGGGCCCGCTCCGGCGACAAGAGTGCTCCTGCGCGCCCGTCCAAGGCCAGGGTGCAGGTCTGCAGCTACGTCTCGCGGTATCTGCCGTACAAGGAGAGCGCCGAGAACCGGGGGCCGAGCGTGGACCACTGGTTCGGCCGGCGGAGCGTGCATGAGGATGTTGCGCGGAGGGGGAGCGCGACTCTTGCGGAGCTACGCGGATTGTTGAAGGATGATCATGCTGAGAATGAGGTGCGATATAACCCCGGGGTGGTAGGGGTGGAGCGGGTGACAGCGTATGATCTGTCGAAAGTGGACGTTGGAGGTGGATGGAAAGATGTCACGGCGTGCGGTGAGTCCTGCAATGTCTCTGTGGGTTTATTCATATGAAATCTCGAGGGAGTTGGCGTGTCTTTTGCATCTTTTTCCAGCACAGAATCACTAATAATAAAAAAAAAAAAAAATCACTTGCTTTGGTTCCCAATTGACATATTTTTTTTCCTAGTCAACACAATCACCCACAAGTACCCAATGTGCACAACACGCTGCTACGCAGTGCTTGAAATAACCGCCACACTCCCAACACCGTCGTCTCCAACCCCATCCCCGCCGGTCCCTGAAGAAACTCACCGAATCCCAGAAGCCCCCGCCAGCAGCACCAAAGACCCAGGCTTCATAACCATCCAGATACCCCTCGACCCTTCCGAACTCCCCGAATCCGAGCGCCCACCCCGCAAAAACTGCATCTTCGCCAACTACATCTCCATCGAGATGGTGCAACCGCTTCTCGCCCGTTTATCAGAAGACGCAGTTAAATCAGCTGCGGGGCTTGCTGATGGCGGTGGAGGTGGAGGTGGCAGTGGAGCATCGAACCCTCTCCAGCAGATAGAATGGACGATGGCCACCTCGGCGCATGCGGGCGGCTGGATCCCAGAGGCCGTGCAGCGGAGCTGGTCGCTGGGCGGCGTGCCGAAGCAGATTGTCAAAGATGTAGGATTCGTAATGGGTTATCTTGCAAAGCGACGGGAAGAGGGAGAGAGAGGGGGGTTGACGGGAAACAAAATAAGCAGATCTAGGGATGGGTAATGATATAAAACGGTAACAAGTCACGAAGGAAGAAAGGAGAAGTAAGCTAAAGAAAGCTTTTCGCACGTCTGCTGCCATAATTTTTTTTTCTTCTTTGGCGGGATACCTAAGTACATACATACATACCTACAAGAGCAAGCATAATAAGTAACCAGCCCTCCTCCGGTTCCGTTCAACTCGGCGCCAGTTTTGACCAACCGCCCACCCGCCTTGGAAAAAGAAATTGAATAACAACTTCAGGCGAAACCAAACATGGACCGTTATAAAAAAGTAGTAAAGAGGGGAAAAAAAAAAAAAAAATAATAATAATGGGAGACGGTGATGATAAGCTCAAATGCAAAGGTGAAAGTGGAGAGAAGCTGCAAGCTGGGATATTGTAGAATGACACACGCGATCCGCCGCCTCCAACGGGAACAACGTAGGAGGGGGAAAACAGATGATAAAGATACAGACGTCAGCACATGCAAAAGGACAAAAGAAACGAAAATCATGTTGGAAAGAGAAAGCCGGTATTGCAGATATATCATATACATGAATAAGGCCCCTAAAAGATAGCGGGAAAAGGTAGCGGGAAATGACGCAGAAAAGAACCTTAGGTTGTCAAAGCGGGGCGAGAAAATATAAAGAAATGACCAGCTGTAAGCAAAAAAGGATCCCGTCCAGCCTACCGATTTTTGTTAAAAAAAAAAAAAAAAAAGAAGGGGGATGCCAGGTCGGCCCTGTGTGAGTGTAGACACCTGGAGAGAGACGGAGAGACATGGAGCAAACCGGGCGTACGACGCGTCAAGGACATATTAAGCATTGAAGAGAAAAAGGAAAAAGAAAATGGGTATTTGGTCGAATTGCATAAAGATAGCTAGGAAACAATGTAGACCGATAAAATAGATTTGGATTAGAACGCAATTGATTTCCGTGCAATTGCTTTTTTTTTCTTTTTTTCAAAGATGCCCCCCGATGCCCTCCTCTCTCTCTCTCTCTCAATACAAGGTATTTTTGAGCACGACTTTGGATCGAATTGTCTCATTGCCATACTCGCAGATACGTGATAACGGTAGATCACACCCATGCAGCAGCGACCCGAGCTAAGCTTCAGGAGGGAGCCAGGGGACCGAATCGCCCCGGCGGTAACTGCGGCATAGTTAGGACCGATAAACTCTGCGCCTTATGATGTTCGCAATCCGTAGAGACTGCCGATGTTCGCGCCACGACTCTCGACAGCAGTGTCATAGGATCAGCAATATCCTTAGGCGGAAATGGGATAAAACAAGAGCTCGATGCGGCTGATGGAAAAACTCTCGCATTCGAATGTGGTGCAGTTATGCCCCGTTGGCGCCGGAAGCTGAAGTGTTCCCGCCGGTGCTGGCAAGCTGTTCCCGTAGGCGACCGACTTCCGCCTCTAAACCATTCATGCGTGTCTCCAGAGACCGCACGTAATCCCAAATCCGATCATTAACCGAAAGATTACTCACACCTGGAAGAGAAGACTGTCGCTGTTGTGAGAAGATATTAGTATTAATATTATTGCTGTCGGGATTATTCATGTCTGTCGTCGAAGTGGTATGGGGAGAACGGGCTTGCTGCATATGCGGGTCCGTGCGATTGTTAACGGAGTGTATGGAAGACACTGATCCCTGGGACTGGCTATGGAGGGTAAACCTCGAGTCGGGAGGATTTAGGCCGGGAGGAGGCGGAAGATGGGGCGTGCCGGGCTGTGGCGAAGGGAGGCTCAGCGGACCCGGTGCGGTCATCGAAGGCACCCCAAGAGAAGCTCCCGAGCCCTGACGGCTTCGGTTATATGGCGACTGACCTTGCTGGAATTGTGGCTTTAGATTGGGAGAGTGGCCTGGAGTGAGCTGCTGCTGTGGTTGCGATGGCGGAGGCAGTGTATTCGTTTCATGACCATGGCTGAGCTGATGCGGTGAAAGGGCGCTGGGAGATAATGGTTTTGGGCTTTCCGTCATGGTGGTCTGCACAAATATTGATGGAGAAGAGCCTTGATGGGCAGGGTTGAAGGAGGAAGATCCGCTGCTGCCGGGCGGGTAGGACGGTGATATCGGGGAAGGCGATGCGGAGCCTGCATGGCTGGCAACGGGGGGGAAAAGACCACCGGGCGAGCGATTGCCGCCTAATGGGGGATACGTGCTCGATTGATGAGACGTAAAAGAGACGTGGCGGCTCGCGGAGGTCTGTGAGTGTGGCTCGGGCGTAACGTTATCCTTCCTGATGCTGGGTATACTCAAACGTCTCTCTTCTTCTTCATCCATGCGCTCTGGCTCTGTATACATCAATCCTTCCATTGCGTCATCTGCCTGCACCACCCCTGAGGTACCACCCTGTTCAGGATATTCTTCCTCGACACCAAAACCACCCATGCTCGACCTCCTTCCCGCGCAGCCTCCCGAACCTTTGTTGTGTCTTGCTAGAGCATCTCCTCGAGCAAACCGTCTGCCACATTTGGGACATATGTGAGGACGTTCGCCGGTATGGAGCTTCGTGTGTCGTTTGAGGTCATGTAGGCGCCTGAAACGCGATTGACAGGTCTGGCAGACATAAGGTTTCTCCTGGCTGTGCGTGAGTAGATGGCTTTTTAGGTTATGGTGACGTGTAAATTCCGTAGAACAATAAGGGCAGCGATGCTTTTTGGCAGACGGAGAGCGTGGGCCTGCTTTGCTCAAGCCAGAATGCGGAAGACTCATTCCCCGGCGTGGGTCGTTGAGATTTGGACTTGGCATGGGTACAGGATAAGAAAAGGCTTTGCTGTTGCTATCTTCAAGCACAGATTCTTCCTCCCTACGGTGAGATCCTTCCTCCAGTGGATTATCCTCTTCAATCGGGCCTGGGCTCGCCACTGTCGCGCTATTCATCAGGGTACCCGGGTTATCTCCATTACCATAGGCGTCGGGCAGTGCAGTGGGGCTGGCGCGGTGTTGCGGTTGCTGTTTCTGCCGTTGTTCTGTACGCTCATCTTCTGTTGATCGATGAAGCGACTTGGACTCCGTGGGGTGAGACGCAGCTCCAGTCGGAGGGGCGTCGACGTTCTCCGATTCATCACGATTTGCCTCCATCACGGCGCCGAGAGCCTCGCGCGCGGTTTGTAGGGTACTGTGATGAGTGGTGTTCTTGGGCTGCTCCCCTTCTCCGCGCTGATCGGGATTACTCGCTGCAGACGTCAGATGCGGCGACAGATGCCTTGACCTTTCCATGAAGGACGAGGGAGACGCACGCAGACTGGCGTTGGCGACTGATGGTAGATTTGGATCTGTTATGACGTCGTCTGGCTTTGAGAAGATGGAGACGGGATGCGAGCGGGCCGAAGAAGGCGGCACGGAGTCTGGAACTTTGCGAAAAGTGGGAGATTCGGGACCCTGAGGAAAAGGGCCTTCCATAAAGATACCTTGTGAGCCGCCAGTTTCGTGGGATGAAAGGAAGTAGCGTCGTGGCCGAAGGATATCAACGGGCGAACTTCTAAAGATGTGGGACGAAGTCATGATTAGACCGATTCGCTACTCAAAAGGGGGTGGAAAGCAAGAGGAGGGAGAATGGAAGGCCAAAAAAAAAAACAAGGGAAATAGAAAACAGGAAATGGAAAAGGCAGATAAAAAAAAATAAATAAATAATATTACAGGTAGAGGTTGAGGAGACAAAACAAAGTAAGTTTGACAGGAATTAATTCTTCGCGGGGGGTTTCTGGAAATAGAACAGGAGATCGGGAGGATTCGTCTTTTGAGGCTCATGAATGGGGGAGATGGGCAGATCTAACCGGCACGACAAGGCAGACTGGAGACGGGGGAACAAGGGGCAGAGGAGGCTGGTTGGCTGGTTGTGCAAGCCAGTGGATAGAATGGGCCGAGATGGGAAACCCACGCGAGAGGACGGCAGTGTCTGGCGGAGATGGGAGGAGACGGAAGAAGAGAGGTCATTCGCAGGCGGAGCAGAGGGGGAGGAGAGGGAGGGAGGGAGGGAGGGAGAAGGGGGAGAGAGGGAGAAGGGGGAGAGAGAGAGAGAGAGACGTGATACTCACAAGGACCAGGCGTTGTTGTTGGGTGGCCGAGTGCGCCTGAAGCTGGGAGGTCAGGTGTGGCGCAAGCTGACAGGCTTCCCGGTCGTTGTTTTGGATTGGCCGCCGATGGGTCCGATCGTCGCGTCCGATGCGGTAATAATGCTCATCCAAGGTGTTCGAGAAGAAGAATAAGAAGAGCAAGAAGACGAAAAGGAAAAAAAAGAGAAAAGAAAAGAAAACAGAGGAAGAAAGAAGCGAGATATTCAAACCGGGACTCCGCTCGAGTGAAAGGGCAGACGGGGAGTTGCTGGACACGCTGGCGAACGATGGCTTGTCGCGAAAGCTCGGCGGTCGTTTTATCGAGGGAGGAAAAAGGACAAAGTTGTGGTTCAACTGCCGGAGTCCTTGGTACGGGTAGCAGAGCGTAATTGGTGAATCGCGACGAAGGTTTTGTGCAAGCCACAAACGGTCCGAAAGGTGGTGGAACCTTCTGACGGACTGGATGGGCGTGTCGTTTTCAATGCGCGGGGAGAGAGAGGAGGAGGAGGAAGAAGAAGAAGATGATGATGAGGCAGACAATCCGACAAACAGAAAGGGGGGAGAGAGAGGGTGGAAGATAGAGAGATGCGGCGCGAGGAGTTGGGACCAGACAGGACGGCGGAAGGAGGACGTGTCTTGCGTGGTCGAGCAGCGGAAATTAGACGCTGAATTGAAGGGTGCAGAAAGGCCCGGGGGTGCGACTCCTGGGCGGCGAAAATCCCCGTGCAGGCAGGGCTTATTAATTCTACCGGGGCGGCAATGGCAGCGAGCTAGAGAGAAGGGGGAGGCAATTGCTGGCTGGTCGAGGAAAGATTTGCGGGTTGTCTGAGATGGATTCCAGGAACAGGGCGGGTGGAGTAACTTGGGCCAGGAAGCAAAGAGGCCGTGTGGAATTTTAACTAATGGCTCTAGTAGTTTGGCTGGCGGCGGTGGTTACGGGACTGGGCCAAAGCACAACGCTTCTACTTGGGAGCAGGGAGGGCTGGATGACTATATCGAAAACCCGGACAAAGACCCAAAGAGCAAGAGTACAGTCAGACGTGTCTGGGCGTAGCACTGAGAGCAAATGACAGAGAAGAGAGAACCAAAAGAAAAAAGAAAAAAGACCAAGAGACAAGAGAGATGGAGAGAGGGAGAGAGAGCGAAGTGTGAGGAAGAAGGTGAAGCGACGAAACGCCCGTCACCAGCCATTTCCTGACTGCCAGAGACCCTGCTGTACCGTACCTTACCATACTGATACCTTCCCCGGTGTGTCAGATGATGAGGCTCGGGCCTGCTCCTGTGCGCTGCGCGGCCAAGAACAGTATAGCATCAATACCGGCCTGGTAACTTTGTGCGTACGGTATGGCGGCTTACGGAAATATTCATCCCTCCCCACCCACCCACACGGACGGCTTGCTTTTGCTTCTTTTCTTCCCCGTCGGGCGGAGCAGCGGCGGCAGCACCAAGCAAAGTATACAGAGAGAGTACTCCGTACAGAGTGTCTCTTTCTCCATCCTGGGGCCATCTGCTGTGGTTGATCATCATCGTCCAGCACCCCTTTTACGCTACATACATATGTACGTTTCGGAATACAACAGCAATCGGGCTCTTGCAGCTCCGCGATCCTGCAAATCACAGCGCCGAGTCTGGGCGATGCGCCTCACCACCCGGCGGATTGACGATGCGCCCTCGTTTTGAACGGTACGCGTCTGCTGATTCGCTTCCGGCTGCACAAATGCAATCTCGCGGGAAGAGGCCGCGAGGCAAACCGCGCCCAAAGCGTCCCGTCCTTTCGTGTTGCAGCAGCAGCAGCTCCTCTCTCCTCCTCCTCCTCCTCCTCTTCCTCCTCTCCTCTCCTCTCCTCTACTCTCCCTCTTGGGGATTGTCACAGGCCCCCGTGGCCGAGTCCGCGCTGTGAACAGCAACCGCGGGTGGCAACAGATCATAACCCGGTTACTCGAGCAACAACATCGTGAAGGTGCCTGCTTCTTGTTCAACGGCGGGCGACCAACAGCAATGATCCCGGCACGGATTCCGACATCCCGATTGCCTCTAAAAAAAAAAAAAAAAAAAGCGCTATCTTTCAAGCTTTCACCCCGGCCTAACTAATGTACATATGTATGAACCTCTCTCCCACAGGAGCAAAAGTCTCCCAAAAAAAAAAAAAGGACTCCCACCACGCGTATCAGCTGCTTGCTCCTACGTCCCAGCTCTTCGCTCACGCAGTCCCCACCCCGACTCGCCATCCTCTCGCCCTTCTGGCCGTCGCAGAACCCGCAGCCAAAACACCGCAAACGCGGGCTGATCGATTGGGGCTGTGCTGGAGCCCGGCCACACTGTGGAGGCGATGGCTGGGGTTGGCGGGTTTCACGCATCGTCATTGGCTGGAGTGTCATGTGGCTTTGCGTCAGAGCCTCAACTTTAATATCCTCCCGGGCCAATCAGCAGCCGGTTCGCATTTCTTTACTTTCTCGTCCGGCGAGCTTCGCTGCGATCTGCCCCAGACTGCCCCCGGCTGCTCGAGGCTGCTCTTGCGCTCGATGGCAGGCGTGATTGGCCATTGGACCTTGCTCATACTGGCGTGCAGAGTTTGTCGACGGTTGTGGGGTCACACACATCTACAGTATGTATGGATGCCTCGATGGACTCTCCTGGGTCCGGAGTATCTGTACATCCAGACTAGATAGCTTTTTGGGGAGTTCTACGGAGTAGAGTTACATACTGTTGCTGAAGAAGTACCGACTGCTAAACCTTGCCAGAAACTGCCCCAATGCGCCATTTTGACCACAGCCACAACCGTTGCAACACGCCTCTCGCGTCTTTTGCGTCGCATCGAGTCTAGCCCGTTGTTTCACTGTGCTTCTTTTTGGCTCTTTTGAAAATGCGGCCTTTTTTGGGCACCTTCAGAGATACAGGGATCTAGCCCCGTGATATGTTATATACATACACAGTAAGCACACTCTGTGGCAGGCCAGGCTGCTAGCCACAGGTTTAAGGATATTCAAAGCCAGCCCTTCCTGGCTAGTCTTTTGGTGGTGGTGGTGGTTATGATGATGATGTCATATTGTTTAACCACCCAGAGAAGCCACAAGGTTGTCTTTGATGTTAAAAACAGAGACCACTCCCTGCTTGTCCCTTTGCAATCTTCATTGCATGTCCTATGAGCATAACCTTGGGGAAATAGAGCGAAAAAGGAAAAAGAAGGGAAAGAAGGGAAAGCAATGAAGAAAGAAAGAAGAAAAATCCATGCATTCGAGGTGGAAATGCGCCCGTGAAGGGGTGCCCTTTTGGAACATCACGAAAAAGAAGTATCCAATGTTTACTCGAGCCAAATGTTACACCACATCCTACCAGCCAAGATGGTCGGGGCGTTGCATCTTCCATATTCCTGCAATCACCGAGCCCGCCAGTACCGCCGTGGCGGAGCCCAAGAAAAGAATACTCACCTTGTTGGTCCCAACCCGAGCTTTTCTGTGTGGACAGAGCCCATTTTTAAGCGTTAAATGGAGTGCGTCTATACATAGTTTTGCACAGAATCGGACATCGCAATCTAAAACGATTTAGGATAATAGAGCTTATTTGCGTTTGGACCTAATCAAGTAAGGGATCGAAGCTAGCGCTACACAGATCAATCAGAGCAAGCAAATGGCTAAAGCTGGAACTGCAGTACATGTATATGCATCCAGCCACCGGGGATGTTCCGAACGCAAAGAAACTGGAAATTTCACTCATTGAGAGAATGCCCATCTTTGAGCTAAAGAGCTGTGGTATTGCGACAAGAGATGTAGTAGGAGTGCCCATAAACACAGCAAAAAGATCTGACCAAACAAAAATTGACCAAACAAAAACGGGGGTATCCAAAACATATGAAGTGCAAAGGGAGATCAGGAATGAAGATCAAAAAGGAAAAAAAGAATTTTGGGGGGGAACCAAGTGTACACATATTAAAAGAAATAGCAGGGGTTGCCGTTAGATAACGGTTAGATTAGGGAGCCTGCTTTGCTGCATTCCTCCTTTTCGCATCTTCAAGCGCCTTCCGCAGCCGATCCTGCTGTTGCTCCTCCTCGGTTGGGGCCGAAGCAACCAGCGGGCTTGAGGATGAAACAATAGCCGCCGTCGGGATCGCTTCCGTTACCGGGGCACCGTCGGGTCCATTACCCCCCTGGCTGTTGCTAGACGATAACTCGCCTTTCTGCATGTGCTGCAGCACATCATCTATGCTCTTCAATATCTCCTGGTGTCCGCTCCGAACGTCGGCCATTCTTGCATTCAGGTCATCTTCGATCTTGAGATCCTCTTTCTTCTTTTCTTCTTCGAGACGTCGGAAGATATCCGGACTGGCGTTGGCTACCTTCGCTTCTGCCACCGATAGTTCATAGTCAGCGTTATTCAGGAGGCGGTCTGCCATTCCGAAGCTGGAGAGAATAGACTCCGAGTCACCACCAAGGAATCGGACAAATCCAGAAGTCAGCGTGAGAATATTTTCAGCCTGCTGTGGCAAGCTATTCATATCGCTAACTAGACTTGGATCGAGTTTCTCAATCTTTGTGAAAATGTCGTCGAGGAGACTCTGGTTTTCGCCAATTCCACGCATGCTAGCCTCATCGAATACGTCCATGAGCTGATTTGCGCGGTCATCTCGGGCCTTCGCTGCTTCAAGAAGGATCTTCTTATCAGCGACATCGAAATCTTTATCCATCTGCTTCAAGGCCGACGAATCGCCCAGGAAGACGAAAAAGCGGCGCTCCGCCTTCTTCCTTCTTCTCTCGCGCTCAAGAGCAGCTTCTACTAGCCTTTCGTGACGCATTTCTATTTTCTGAAATATATCAACCGCATTTTTCATCGCACATGATAGGTGGAATTTTTCAAGCTTAGGTGTGGACCCAGAATCTGCTTCGGAGTTAAGGAGGTCGAGCGCCTCTTTATAATAGCCTTCAAGAGTTGCGATCTCAGCTCTAAGCCGCTCATCCACGCGGGTGAACACGATCTCCACAAATTTATCATATTCTCTCCTCTCCTCGTTGAGCTGTTTTTGAGCCTCCGTCTGCTTGAACTCCGTTTCTAGAACATTAATATCGGAGTATCCGATCTCCTTGTTATTAAAAAGGTTGTCAATATGGTGTTCTGACGCTTCTTGTCGTGCCCGGCGTTGGCCATCTAGTTGGCCTTGTCTTGAGCTTGCCCCACGATCCCATGCTTCCAAGCTCTTCTCCATAAAATTGAAGTCGTCAGGGAATTTTTCCAATTCGTCTCGAGCAGCTGCAGTCCGTGCATCAGCGGCTGGATTCGGTATTATTGCCGGTACCAAAGTTCGGATATCGTCCAAGATCGCCGTAGCTATGCCTTTTTTGAATGGATCCGCAGTCGGCGCCCTGATCGCCAAACTCGACTCTGGTCGTCTGCCTCGATAAGCAACACTCTTTTCCCGAACGAGCCCCAAGAATGTTTCATCATGTTCAGCTCTTAGCGGTCGAGGCATGCCTGGCGCATCTGAATCACGACGTAGCTGCGAATTTGGTTGCGTCATCACCCTTCCGCTCTCTGCCGATGCTTGTCTTAAGGCAGAATACGCCTGGTACGCTGGACGCTCAAAGCTCAAAGGTTCTGAACCTCTCTGAGGACCTTCTTGGTACCGAAATGGGGTATATGGCGTGGATGCCTGGGGAATGATCGTGGCTGCACCAGCCGGGGGCACCGAGGTGGCTCTTGGTAACTCTCCTAGTGGGTTTCTAGATGTTACAGTGGAAACAACGTAGCTCGTAGCATTCAAGCTCTCAGCCCTATTTCGAATCTGCGCCGGGGGAGTAGGGTTTGACGCAGATCGCTGAAGACCGGTGCTGTTCTTGAGTTCTGCCTGTTTTCGCCTCAGCGACGAAGCGAGCACGGGGCGACCACCTGGGCTGTAGGTAATAACGTCATCCTCTTGTTCCATGGGTATGGGTAACTCGGTATCAAGCTGTTTCAGCTCCGGTTTCGTCGGCGCCTTGAGCTGGTCGGCGTGCTTCGGTACTTCATCATTTGTTGGCTTTGTTTTAATGGCATCCGGCACAATCTCCACGCTGTAAAGTATTTCTCGTAGCTTGGACTCCTTGGTCATAAATGCTGTAAAAATTTTGAACTTCTCCTCATCTGATTCCGTCGCCATTTCTTTTCGAAGCATAGTAACGTATCTCGTTAACGACGACTTGTACCATGGGTCAAGGTCAGCGTACGGATCAGCAATAGTTGTGATCGACTGCACAATAGGTTGATCAACTCTGGACGTTATAGGAGGGCTGTTTTTGGGTGACAACTGCAAAACGGAAGGCCGAAGTTGTGACACGGGAGTCGCCGCGCGACTGGTTCCTTTCTCAGAAGTGGCCGAAGTCTGAAGATCTGGCTCCACACCTTTTTCTGATGGGACTGGAGGTTTATCTTCGATTGGCACAGGCCGGGACCACTCCTGAATGACATTGTCAATCTGGCCCGTGCTGTCTTCAGCTGATACCGCACTCGAGAAAGAGTCTACACTATTCATACGATCAGCCTGTTGAATCTGTCTACGGTCTGAGTGTTGGGTTCCGGCGTCAATGGACGAAACGGGAGAGACCCGGCCCTGTTGGATTTGATCGTGTTCCGGAGGAGTGGATAAAATCGGAGGTTGCGATTCCGATTCCGACGTTTCTGGTCGGTTAGACATAGGTACGTCAGAAGCCAGTTCAAAAGTCTTTGTTGCCAGAGGTGGATTTTGAGTCTTGAATTTGTACGCTTCTGTGTCATCTACTTCCTCATGGGTGGATGAAAAATGCTCCCAGTCAGACGGCCCTCCTGAGCCCAGGGCGGAAGCGCCTGGTGTCGAATTTGTAGGTTTGGTGGTTTCTGGCAACACAGGAGCGGGAGTGGGTGGAGGTACGTGGGCCGGAGAAGAAGTGAAGCTCGGGTCCTCTATTGATTGATTGGGTGGCGGCAGAGAAGGCTCATTTAGTAGAAGACTAGGAGGTCGATCAGGTACGTCGCCCAGGGCATGCGTATCGTTTAGAGTGTTTGAACCATTGAGGCCCGTAGGTCCCATCTGAGTGATAGTAGGGATGGGCGGCTGCGGCTGCGGCTGTGAAGCCGGAGCTGGAGCTGGAGGCGGGTGATGCTGTGGCTGCTGTGACTGCTGTGGTGGTTCATAGTTGTGCGTTGGCGGATGAGAGGAATAAACTGGGGCGTTTGGCCAGTTTTGCTGGGCCTGCTGGGCCTGCTGGACCTCCGCTTGGTACGCGGGTGGTATCGGCGGTGGCTTGGGTGGCACCGTCTGACTGACGCCGGAGTTGGAATCCGAATATGGGTGCGGCTGCCAAAATTGCGGCGCATGCTGCGGCGGCTGTTGCTGTTCGGGGAAATGTGTAGGGGGGTTGGGCGGATAGTAAGGGTGTTGATTTTGCGCAGTATTCCACGGCTGTGGTCCTAAATGGGCCTGTGTTTGAGGTTGATCTAGGCTGCTTGTTGGGCGTGGCTTCAAAATATCAGTGCTGAGAATTAAATAATATAGATAATAAAACTACATACCGGTAGAGGAGGTGGAATTTGACTGCCCTGCGCAGCACTCGATTGATGATGGTGGTGACCATAGTGCTGATTGTACCGTACGCCCCAAGTAGACGTATCTATATTCGGTGAAGGGTTGCTGGGTGCCGGCTGAGAATGCGAGACATGATCAAGCGCTGGAGACGGTGTGGATCCGGGCATAGGCCCGTACATATTTGGGTTATAGAAGGATGTGGCCGGCTGGGACGTCGTGGGAACTTGAGTAGGCGGTGGGGATGAGACCTGTGATGCATTCCACGACTGTCCATGCTCTGCCGGCTTGCTCTGCTGCCATTCGGGATATGAAGGCGGGGGCCCCGTAGGATAGTATGACTGCGGAGGAGGAGGAGGCTGCGCGCCGTACATTTGGGAACCTGAGTGCGACATTTGAATCCGTTCGGTCGACAGTGTAGCTGTTGAAAACTAAGCTACCGGCTGAGCAATCAGTCAACTATGCTCTGTGGGGGAAAACAGGCCGGGTACTCCGTACAACACCTCCTAAGTAAGATTCAAGACCACAAGGGAAATCCAAGGTGTCCCGCGGATATGCAGATTGTGATTTGCTGTCGCGGATGGATAGCTGCGAAGACTCGTTCACCTCATAATCAAGGCTGTCGTGGGGCCCAGTGCAACAGGTAGGTATCTCTGTCAGGAGTGCAGCGTGATATTGTTTATTTTTGCTCTTGTGATCATCGGACGGGAATCACTCAGGTTTTCATTGTCCTCGCAGGACCCTTCCGTGGGCCGGACTCCGTACTCCCAGGGGAAGTTGATCAACGAGATGCGAAGGGGGAGATGTTGGAACTAGGATGAGAGAAATGAACTTTCGATGCGGGTGGAGTTATGGTGGAGCTGCTGAGCTCGTATTCTTAACGCCCAACCTCGAGCATCGACAGCAAAGACGGCGTGGTCGACGCAGCCAAGGACCGCCACGAGCACGCTGCAGTGCACCAGATGGGCCGTTTTATCGCGTTTGCATCCGACTAACCTTGTGGTTGAGGCTATGTCCATACGCAGGACGTGCAGACAGACATCCACTGTGATCCAGCGTCTTCGTCTCTTCGTCTGCGCTGATGGCCTTTGATCGAAGATACGGTAAAACTGAAGCGAGTCCCGTTCTTGTCGTCTTCCCTTCCAGTGGCGCCTGCAAACAACCTTCCGCCCTCGTTTTCACCCCCTGACGAGCCTTCTGCCTCTCTTGCCAGCCAGTGGGCTACGCTTCGTACCCAATTGACTCTGCTCTTTCGTGATTTCCGCCCTCTAAGCCACAAGGGCCGATGCGGCTCGCCGCCCTCTGTCGATCGGAATCCAGGCATAAACAACTCCGTACTCCGTACTCCGAGCGGAATACATTCTCCATCAGACTCGTGGCCCCGAAAGAAAGGGGCTGATACCTAAATAGACCGCCTAGGCAAAAGGCAAATCACTCAGGGGTGAATTCAATTATCCCTAACAATACCTTCGAGCAAGGGGATAGTGTTACTCTGAACATAAGTGGTGATTCAGGTATTCTCCAGATGGAGGATTTCAATTACTTTTACCCACTATGGAGTACCTATTATTCAATTCGTATTTTCCTCTTTGCTCTACTCCGTACAATTTTGCCCGGCCTTGATCTTCCAAGCCAGATGCTTCAGCTCCGCCTAAACAATGGCTACTAGCAAGATCTTTGTCGTCGAGTGGACGGCGGAATTCTCCTCTTCGTGACTCGGTCGCGGATACCTTTCAGCGCCCATAGAAAAATCAGGGCTCTATTGCAGGCATCGGAAGAGGAGGCGGCAAGAAAAATTCACTCTTCTTCTTTGTTCTGCTATCCTTTAACCGTGAATATCCCTTTACTCATTCATTCCTTTGCAAAAAGTTTTCATATATGGTGAAAAGGTCAGGTTGAAATAAATCGACCATTGACATTTGGTATCATTGTCATGCAATGAATTACTTTCTTCTTTCTCAGTCTTTTATATCCCAATCAGAGAACAATAATACCATTGTAATGGACATTGTCCAACTCATAAAAATGCTCCTTATGGTTCTCATTATGATGTGAAAATGCTTTCAAAAATCACCGGCATTGAAAATTCATCAATTCAGTGCAGCCATGGCTTATTCTGCCATGCCTGTCCTTATACTGGCTGCCCCTATATCTACCTCATGGGTAATATCATTTACAGCTCTTTCCACGCGTTTTTGGCGCAGGCATTATAGAAGAACTCATTTTTCTGTAACCTGAACCTGGAGCTTCATTTTTCCCCTACCTCTCGTCACCTCTTCTCTACCTCACTTAATCTATAGATCTTTTTTCTTCTAACGCTTTCACTCTACTATCATAGCCTGATATTTTCTTGAAGTGACTCTCGAATCCGATATTTTCAATCAGTTTATCCTAGTTATCAGATACTACATTTAAAGAAAAGGTCACACAAAATCCCGAGTCTGAACCCGGCCTTTTCTCGAGGTCAAAAATAACAGTGTCATGGATGGCCAGGACCTTCCAAGACCACCTACTTTCCCGGTGCGGCCAGATCTATTTAACGAAGTGGAATGGGGTCCGCTCCCTAGCGACAAGGATATCGCGCTGGCATATAAGCTCTGGATTCACCAAGATGGGCTTCTTGGGAAGGAAGTACGCTACGATCCCGGGTCAGAACGAGAGGATGAACCAGAGGACGATGGCCCCGATACCTGCCTCGTCCGAAATGTGTACGAAGCCTTGATGCAGCTTAATCCGTTGCCTTTTGCTAAATCGCAGCAAGTTGAGACTGCCCAGTTTAGACATGAGTACATCGCTTCTGACGAGAGCGATGCAAGCCTAGGGAGCGTGAGAGCTAAGGGGTGGTCATATAAGGAGCTATTTGGGATGGAGTACCAAAACGATGCAGATGAGCCGGAGCTGAAAATAGAGATCAATGGCCTTGACTTACATAGCTCCCGCTGGAGGAAGGCCGGCTTGCAAAAAGAACTCCGGGCCAGGCATCTCGACACTAATGGAACGGTGGCGGAGTTAAAAGAACGCCTTCGCAACTCTGAGCTCGACAACTACAGATTAGGGGCAAAGGATATCGACAAGGGAAGCCGACTGCCTCGTCAAACTCTGCTGCAATGGGGATGCACCCGGACAGATGATTATATGTTGAAAATATCGACAGAGACCGAATTTAGTCCCGTGGATATGTATACTTGGGCTATTTTACTCAGTCCATACAATCCTGCATATTGGACCAGCCGAGCCTTTGTTTATTATCAGATGGGTCACCTCGATCTCGCTCTCGGAGACGCCCATCGTGCGCAGCTATTGTGTGATGTTATAACCAACCCGTTGGTCCGCAACTCTCAGCCGGGATTATATACTCGCATATGGGACGCTATAGAACGCCATATCTTACAAATAAAATACGAAGGGGTAAAAATCGCTCCAGAAATCAAGAAGCTTAGAGATGTGTCCGGCGTCAGCGCCTTTATACCGCACGTTCGGAAATCGCTACATCACATGATATGCCTCAGTTTGCTTACACTACAATGCTGGGAGGACTATCAAACGATTGAAGGTGACCAGGTCAAAAGAATTACAATGCGGGATCGGGACAGCCGGGCAATCCAAGAACGTCAACAATTGTTTGCGGAATTTGTCAAGGGCGTTTTGAAAGAGAAACGAGAAGACCCTAGAGAGTTTTTCTACGAAAGCCATTACGGCCATATCCCTGGGAAGCCTTATCCCTACTACCAGCCTATTGCGCGCACATCCAACGAGGTGATAAACAATATCAATAAGGAGATCATTGGAAATTCCCAGTCGATCCAGCTTGGCCCGTGCAAAATTGAAGTTAGAGGAAAGTCAGACCGCCAGCTAGGTGTATTTGCCAGAGAGTATATCAAAGCCGGAGAAGTCGTATATGCTGACGAGCCATCCATTCGGGGTCACCTCCACGATTTCCACCGTCGAAAAGAATATCGGTGCGAAAATTGCAAGCGGAGAATTACGGCAGTTCCTAACAATAGGGATGCACTATATTATATTAAAAATAGCCTCGCCGAAGCACGAGCTTTAGGAATAGCATGTGAGTGCGCCTTGTCGAAGTCAGAGCCTCTGTTTTGGTGTAATCCTCCGCGGTCACTTGAGGCAGATGCAAGAAAACCCGAGGACCGCCCTCGTCAAGCCGTGAGCAATGCCGTGCCGCGTTCTCGTAAGAGGGGTGCCGACGGGGAGGATGATAGTGGCGGAGAACGCGAGCCAAAAAGGCAAAAGACTGGCCCCTTTTCATGTTTCCATGTGGCACTTACACATTATCATTACCGTACATGCGGGAGAGACTGGAAATGGCTGCAAGATGCAATGAGACCTGTTAAATGGGCTCTCGCAGAGAGGACACCGCGTCTGCACTATACAAACGAAAGACACGGAACCGTTTTAAGCCTTATGCTTAGAGAGGTCTTCGACATAACCCTTGAAAGACGAGAGACAGATGGGAAGCCAAACCTCCTAGCTTATGAGATCGATGAATTATTTCCGCTGATGGGGGCTGACAAGGAAATCGAAGGGCACATCTTCCCCTTCTCATTCGCGGCAAATATCAAAGTTCCATTTGATATCCTGCAGTGTCTTGGTGTTAATATATTCCGAGACATGACGTTCGACACATGGGTCATTCAACTTGTTCTCAGGAAATTGCTCATCAACACAATTCCCTGGGACCTCAATCGACGTGTAGCGGATGTTGTGGATACCCCCGAGAGCAAGGAACTCCGTCGCAACAGACTACCGAGTTTGCCGGAGATCAGGTTTTCTGAAGCCGATCCGACCATTAAGGATCTCTATATCTTCCCAGGAGTGTCGATGTTCAACAGCGCTTGCCCAGACCAACACAACGTCAACTGGGATTGGGATCTAGCAGTTCCAAATCGTATGGTTCTGTGGGCAACAAGGGACATCGAAGAAGGTGAAGAGCTGCTTATCCCATATGTTCCGATGAAGATTGGAGGGGATTTTGCGCAGCGTATGTTCGGAGTTGGCTGTCGATGCAGCAGGTGCAAGGACCACCCAATCGTAGAAAACGTCTATCGTACCCTTGGGCCTTATGGGGACTCTAGCAGCGAAGACAGTGAAGAGAACACGGCGGACAATAGCGGGGACGACAACGATGGCGGTCAAGGCGCCGACGGCAATAACAACAAAGGTTACCCGATCACGGGAGAAGAGGAGTCATCGTCAGAACCGTTCGCTACGCAACGCGCGATGACGCCAAACCCAGAGGACGAAGGGGAGTATGATGAGGCTGATTTCCGTGAGGAGTCAGTTCAGGCACAGGATCATTCCGGTGTGCCGTTCACTGAGGCCGTAGTCAGCTGGCACGCGGATAAATTGAGGACTGCGCTCAAAAAGGCGGCTAAAAGGCTTCCGAGACATAGAAGAGGAGCGACAGACGAGCAAAGCTGATACTGACAAGCGAATATTATATGGAATGAATAGCGTGAACTGCTCAAGGATATGTGGGCGCGGAGCGTGCTCTACGATTACGACCCTGATATCATGAATACGACGTCTAAATCAAAAAAGAAAGCTTTCTACGGGTTGGATTTTAAACAAGTGAAAGCAAATATAAAAAAAAAAAATCCCCTAAGATTCAGCGGATAGCTATGAAGTAAATGGGTCTTATTGAAAAAAACATGTGTTCCTCAAGAGTCAACGTAAGCATTTTCCTCGAAGTGAGGCGAATAGACAAATGGTATCTCAGTTGACAAGTAAAATTCTGTTGATTGGCTCAGGAAGAATATTACAAAGGTTCTTCTAGTTATATAGATTAGTGCCTACAAGCTAGATAGCTGAATTAGCAAAAGTTAGCATACACTGGACAAGGAAATTTCAGGAAGCTCAGGGACGTGGGGATGACCTGAGGTGAATAGAATATGGCATATATCTAAAATTCGGGAACGAAATATTGTAGAATTAAACACCCCAGTTCCAAATGCCAACCGAAAATCTAGCTGAAAGAAGGATTTAGAAACCCCAATAGTTAAATGGTAGCTCGTCGCTTTATGATCTCAGTTGCATAGGGATAACCCCTTTGTGGAAAACCGACGAGTCAGGCCTTCTGCTCTGTGGTCATAATCAAGTCGACTGCTAATTAGGTGAAGGAGGGTGGCGAGGATAGGAGCCGATTTCCAAAAGCAGCCCTTGGTCTTGAACAGCTCTACACATCTAGTGTCGCGCCATCTAGCATAATTGCACGATTATCTGTGGGAACGGCTCGGAAAGAGCAAAGGGAGAGTCAACACCCACTTTAAGTGATTCTGACCCTAGGCAGTAGTTAGGCGACAAACAGCACCTCGCAGGACACATAATCTGGGAAGATTGGGGATCGGTCTGGGGTTCAATTCGGTGTAGACTCCTTGAGTGATTGGGCACTAGCTGGGGACCCGGAATAGTAGCAAGGGAAATAAAAGGCAATCATTTTAACAACAGGCAGATCATTCCATTTACCTGCTCTGGAGTCAACAGGTCAGCTGAGAGAACTCCAGGAGTGGAAATACTTTGCTTGCCAACTTTGTATCCCTAGCTGATTCTAAGCGGATACTAGTACGGTCAGCTTCCGACATGATGGTGCAGACGGCGAGTCCGGGAGATTTTCATGCTACATCTGAGTCAGTATAGTAAGTCCCTGGCCAGCGAGAGAAATGAGCAGCACGAGCAGGCAGGAATGCGCCTCTGGAATTAGATGAGCCAGGGCGTAAATTCACACCGCATTAACCCAGTATATGCACATATCTCCATCCTGGGTCATTTAGCTGGCGTCTTTAGAATAGTTTGCCGTCCATAGTTATCCTCAAGGCCTTGGCCACACCGCGAAACCTAGTTATCTCATAGTGCATATCGGCATTGGCGAGCTGTATCCCGTTATCGTAAGTGCTCTCTGTACGTGTGCATCAAGGGAGAGCGATGTCTGGTCATTTTCACCAATAGCAGATCACAACCAAGTAGTTTTAGCAGTGATGGAGGATGAGATCCCCGTTGAAACGCGGCCAACCGCTCATGACCGTCGAATTCCCTGAGAAGGGAAAAAAAAAAAAGAAAAAAGGAGAGAGAGAGATAGAGAGGGTAACGAGTTCTGGTCGGTGAAACAGCCGCGGAGCTATTTTGAGGACGGCGAGGCCCCACACCAACCAAGCGCGCAGCATACAGGAGAGAAGCTGGGTCGCTGGGTTGGGATCCATGGCATTAGCCGTTGAGAAATCGCGGATACTCCGAGCTGCACCCCACCGGCTGAGCCTATCATGTCGTCAGAGCAGCATTTCTCGCCGCTGCAGCCAGGGAGACGATCAACTGGTATCCTTTCAATCAGGTGATTTCGACCGGACGTGGCCGTCCCGCAGACCAGCCAGGGAGGCATCGCAGCGGTGCAGGGAGGAGAACGCCCAAGAAAAGAATATCTCACACGCTAAAATCGGTGCTGGTTGCGGCTCCAGAGACGTTTCTGCGGCACAGTCATCGGACATTGCCTGACTTTGCGATCTGATTGCACAGACCTCCTCCGTTATCTTCCCCAATCGGATCGCTACAAGCACCCTTTCGCAAAGTTCTTGAACCTGGAAACACCGTTTCAACGATGCCATCGGGACCAAAAAGGCCCTTTTTCGAATTCAAGGTCAAGGCCTGGCCGAAAGTTCACACGCATTCGCCGTTCTCGCAGCCATCATCTACCCTTTGTTACGTGCCACCAGGTGGTCAGCCTACATGGAGTCTTCATTTAACTGACTGTGCCGCACGTAAAACGGCCCAAGGGGAAAGCTAGTCCTCTGCTGTGCAGATTGCGACCACGTACTCCGTACACGCGACCCCAACCCAGAGCAAGGGATGCTCGAGTTGCCCGCCCGTTTGTGGGAGTTAAACGAACTTCGTCCGAACCGACCTCAAGGGTGTCTGCAGGCACAGTCTTGCCCCAGGAACCGGATTTGCACGTTTTTGATGCAGCAACCTAATTCTGACTGAGAGCACAAGTGACGTGACTCCTTTTTTTTTTTTTTTTTTTTTCTTTTGGGGGGGGCGGGGCAGAATTCCAAATGACGGATGCTAGAGGAGGCTCGAACATGTACCTCTGACGCCCCCTAATGGTAGTCGGTGCCTTCACATCTGGTTCGAGATGAATCCTATGGTCATCCGGATCTGCCCATGATCTCAGATAACCGCAGATGCTAGTTCATTGTGGAGTCACTGCTTTCTTTTTGCTCATCCCTCGCTATTCACGCCAGTGATGCTTCCCCAGATGAGGTTCACGCACGCCGAACTTACTTCGAATTTTGCTTAGATCTGAAGCTTTTTTTATAGCCCTGGTTGTTTCCTGCATCTTCGGCCGTGCCACAGCCGCTACCTATGTGCCGTTTCGAGATGTCCCCTGGCATGTGAAAAGCTTTTCTCTTGCTTTCCGGCGCCTTGATTTGATTGTCATCCCTGACACCGTTGAGAGCTCCTCCTCGCATCCCGCAGGTCACTACGCATCGGGAGGCCTCCATACGGCCCCCTCAGTTCGAGATATGACGTTGCGCATACGTCTTAGATTTCCCTTTTTATTAATCCGACACTGGCCTGCGGCCGTTTCTCTGTATTAAGCGCCGCAAGGAGCGATCTTTTCTATCCACTGAGGTGCGGCCGTTCGACTATTTGCATCCCGGTGCAGCCATCCCCTTCCTTGTAAAGCGGCTGCTTTGCGATCGCATTCGTCGAACTTTGCGTCACTCTGCGCCTCCCGTAGATTCTGCAATATCGGAATTCGGCGAACCTTTACGGAATGGGCTCGTTTCTCAGAAGGTACATAAGGGAGCGCGTAGGTTCTTCCTGCGTCCAAGTCAAGCACTTTCCTCACTGTATTCCAGTTCGCACTCGAGTTTACGTGAAACTAAAGCGCAGGGAACGGCTATCGACTTTAATACCTTCTACCCTAGCTCCAATTCTCTAAAGTTCCCATGTCTGCTCCAACTAGGCAGCTCGGAAAGCTATCAATTGGAGGCATGCCGACCACTCGAGCACAGACCCAACGAGGAGCCAGCGTTCCTTATGAAACTGAGCCTCGTTCTGATAGTGAATCTGAGGAAGAAACCTCGAGCAGCGATGAAGAAGTTCCTTCTCAACCGATTGCGAGAGTGGTTCGCGGATCCACGAACATCCCTTACGATTTGGGAGGGCTCTCTCCAGCGGCGAGAGGGCGAGTTATGCATGGCTTAAAGGGTGAATTCGTTGTCGATAGATGCTGTGCTACACGGAGAGGCTTTGATTTCGATGTGGCAGACCATGGTCGCGTTGGACTCAATGACGGCTCTCTGGTATGCTCATGTCGTGACTTTGGGCAAACGAACCTTGCATGTCGCCATATTTATGTGAGTTTCAGTTCCTCCTTTGGCTTTTGTGGTGTGAACGACAATACTGATATTCAATAGTGGCTTGTAGATCAACTGCACCGAGGATTTTATCCTGGGCTTCCTCCGCAAGCCGTGCGAATGTCGGAGACAGGAGAAACGCAGTTCTTCTCGCGTATAGCCGAGATGCTGGGGGATAAGATAGAAGAAATTGCCAAGAAGCGTAGCTGGCCATACTTCCCTGGAGTGACCTCTCCTGCGGATTCGAGCAACGGTGGGCCAGAATCGATGAGTCGCCCTCAGAAAGCCCGCGACATCCTCTCCGCGTTCAGCAAGTCAGCCATGCCTGACGAGTTTCGGCCGGATCTCGTTGAGACTATTAATCAACCTCGGACCCCAGAACAGTGTGTGGTGCAAGGGGATTTTGAAGCTACTATGTTTCGTCTCGCTGTTCATGACGAGAATGTTTATTCTGGCCTTCGCAAGGTCATGCCCTCAGGAGCGCGAGCAGATATCTTCTTCGACAAAATCCAAGCTAGAATTCGAATTTTGTTTGCTGAATTTGACCTATATCGGGAGACTGGCGCCGTGCGCCGGGATGGTACTGCATTGGAGATCCCAGTGGTCGTTGAGGAGCTGAAAGGGAGACTTGATCAGATTCAACGCAATATCCTCGCTCGCTCTCCACACGGTTCAATTGGTGCCGCTGAAGCGCTGATCCACTTGCTGCGCGAAGTTTCCACTCGAAACTACGATGCTTTTGAAGACGCCGACTGGGACCGCCCAGTTCCTGCTGGAGAACAAGAGGAAGAGCGGAATCTATACCTACAACTTATCGACCAGTCCGGCCACACGGACTCATTCTTCGTCCTCGACTGCCTTGAAATTCTGCCCGATTTAGTTGTGCGCCAATGGACCCCACAGCTGGCAGCTATTTTCAACGCAATTCATGCGAACGGTGCCTCGCTTTCATACTTGCGCAAATTGCAGGCATTGAAAGCTGGGGTATCTGGTCACAAGAGGCCTGCTGCGGGCTTGCCCGGAACCGACAGGAAGAGAACAAAATAAATTCAGTCCATTTGAATACGTTCTAAGGGAATAAACAATTTCATGTTGACCGCAAGAGTGCGCGAAAGAATATAGATGAAAAATAAAAGTATACTACGGACGTGTCGCTGCTCGATGGAAACGACTATTTTGCCTGTCCTACCTTCGTCAACGTCCACGATATTCGGTTGATCAATGCAAACAAAAAAGAACAAGATAAAAGATATGACAAGCGAGGATGAGATGAAGTTCAAGGAAGCAGAGAATCAGGCCTTTAAGCTGGCTTTAAGGTCTGTATGATGATGTGTTTCCAGGTATTTTCATCATAATCAACCGCGCGGCAGGAGTTTGATTTGTTTTCTAGACATTTTCCTTTCGGTTTCATGTGTCTTAATTCCGATGCAACCAAGCTGGCCTTGTGGTTTATGGAGTAAGCTACGCTTACTGTTTTCTATATTTGGATAATCGTTAATATAATATGGAATCATATCCAGGATTATAGTTTCATTTCTCATTATCTCATGCAATTCTTTGTCAGAAAGAGTAGCAAAAGATAGTAAGGGGGGATGCAACATTAAGAGAGATCCAGCACAACTCTTCCCTGCAACTGCCCCTTCTCCATCTGCTCAAATACTTCCGTCAACTTATCCATCTTCTCTACTCCAAAGTGGGTACTGATAATTCCTCTGGCCGCAAAATCCAGGACCTCGATGGCCTCTTGCCTGGTTCCGACTGCCGAGCCAATTATCGAAAGCTGCTTTAAAATAAGGGTTGCAGGAAACGCAGCGCCGATGGGAACAGGGTCATTCTCTGGAACGCCGACACAAACAAGGGAACCGTTCATGCGCAGGAAGCTGACGGCCTGCGCATACGCCGCGTTGGATGCGGTGCAGACAATGACAGAATGGGCACCCATGCCATCGGTCAATGAAATAACTTTCTCCGCGAGGGCCTTGCCATTGTCGTTGGAGGGGAACTCGGTGATATCAAGGAAGTGTTCGGCTCCAGATTTCAGGACAAGGTCCTTTTTGCTACCGTGGTCAATCCCAATGACGCGATGGCCTAGGCCACGGCTAGAAAGCTGAGTTGCGAGATGGCCCAGACCACCTCCGGCACCGGAGATTACAACCCAGTTGCCAGGACGGGCACGGCTTCGCTTGAGGGCAGCGTAAACGGTGATACCGGCGCAGAGCATTGGTGCCGCAGCGTCTGAGGGAAGTGAGTCGGGGATAGGCGTCACGTAATGGGCTGGTCCAAGGACATATTGCTGGAATGTACCAGGTGTGTAGTAGCCGGAAACTTTGCCTTTGACGCAGCATACATCGGTGCCTTCAAAGCAGGGTACTATTTTCACGGAGATATCCTTTTTAGCGGGACGCAGGACTCGGCGAGTACAAAGGGCCGGAATGAGACACTAACGGCAGGTTCCACAAGCAGACGCAACCCACTTAATACCGACGCGGTCACCAATCTTGATGCCTGTCATATCTGCACCCGGCCCGAGTTTAACGACTTTTCCTACACCTTCGTGACCACCTACCTGGCCTGGCTGAGTTGGATATGGAAGGGCTTTCCACTGCAGTAGCGCGTAAGCTTGTTACACCATGACGACGCGTGAGGCAAGACATAAGATACTGACAGCGTTAGTCATGACGCCAAAGTCTGAATGGCAGACGCCTGAATGAGTCCTGAACCAGGTGTCAGTTTCCAACAGGTCATGATTCCGTTCGGGTTCATACGACCTCCACCGAAGCGTGCCAGGATGAACTTGCCAAAGACATACAAATTGATCAACACTTCCCCTGGGCCTGGCTCCGGAACATCGACCATTACGACCTTGGTGGAAACTGTCCCAGGGTTGTCATAGACAACGGCCTTGGCCTGCTTTGGGATCTCGATCGCTGCCATGACGCAGACGGGTTACCAGATGGGTGGAGGCTAAAGCGTCAAGGTTGAATGTAGATTCGAGTTTAATACCAGAACTACTGGCAAACAGAGCAAGTGTGAGGACCTTGTTTGTTGCGAATGCCCTGGCTTTTAACAAAACTAACCGGGAAGAAGAAAGATCCCTCGCAGCACCAAACTATGCCGTGGGAACGGCGAGGATCCGGCGGAATTTTAAATCTGCTGTGGTCCCCGACGCCCAGGCTACAAAAAGACTCCCGCATTTGGAGGTGGCCAGAACGGCGACTATCCTTCCAGCTCCAGCTTCATGCCGAGGCTGTCAAACCAAGTAAACTAGTTGGGCTTCGTCCCACCCTCTATGCCCCTAGCCGTCTCGTTTTGGCCTTTGAGAGATCTCGCAGTTAGGACTCGATGTTGAAGGTGTCATCTTATCTTGATATACGATGTTCTAGGCGCCTGAGAAGAAGGAATCGCAGGGAGCTCAGGCACAGTCATCGAATCCTTACGCGCGACGGTTTGCACGCGAAGGATCTATGCACAATCTCGACCGGTTTTAAACGAGGAGCGGATTTATTTCGAAAGCTGGCCTGGGCACGCCGTAGTCGCTGAAACTATGGAGACCCCTGGTACAGTACTCTCTTTCCCCGCATTCCGGGTCGTCACGTCATACGGAACAGCCTACACAACGTGCGACAAGTGAGGTGGAAACAGCGAATACAAACCCCACATAGAAATGCGGGGTCTGGGGTAACCGTTAGCAGACCACTACGCGGCGTTTGATAGTGAAGGCTAGTACGGAGGAGACCAAAGTCAAAAGCCTCGCTCCTCGGGGTCGTGCTTTTAGCACATGGTTGAGGGGCTAGGAGGAGCCACGATGCTCGTGGGCGCCGAGGTATCATGTAGGAATGTTTCCAGGCATATCATCTCCCGCTTCGGATCGACGGCGGTCGTTAGAAGGCACGTCGAGTGTTCCGCTGCGCCGAGACCCGCCCTGTGGTGGTGTCGAACCTTCGCGGATGAGTTAACTAGGGTAAACCGGTTGTTCGCACGTTAATAACTGAGTCTCGTCTCCGGTGCTTTTAGTCAAGTTGGCTGACTCATCAAGGGCCATTGATTAGTCACCACGCGACCCGCGTCCCTCGAGATATTTCAATATCCGACGACAAGAAATGACATTAGCTCGATCGGTCGTCGGCCCCGTCCATCGCATCCCGTCCCTTGTGCAATCCATATTAACTGCGGGCTGGAGTGTGTTTCTTCAAACCCAATGAAATGAACCAATGTGCTAGTCGAGTTTATCTACCCCTTTGGGTCAACCTCCTATGATCCCGCTAAAGACAGCTGGCGACGATGTTTCGTTTCAATCTTCAGGCGTGATCCCGAATCGTAACTATATTCATTTCCTCAGCAGTCAGGGTCTTCCGTTGCTTGGCCTATTCCCTTCGGCGGCTTTCGCCCGTCAAAGCGATGTTGGAACCCGCCTGGGTGCATCCAGCCAAAACATCTATCTTTTCGCGTCGTGGTGGTCATGAATTTGCTAAATGTTGAAGGTGGGTCACCGAGAAGGAGGGGCCCAGGAGTAGAACGTTCTGCTCGTTCTCGAGTGGTGCAAGAATTTGCTCCTCAATGCTTCTCGCGAATTCCATGTCCTCCAAATTCGATGCGGGATCCACATAGCATTTTAGACAATGCGATATTGCTGAATAAAAAGCGAAGGATATATCCCCTTTGTTTTTCTGTGTCATGAGCCAACGCCGCACGGTGTTGAGATCGGAAAGTTCATTCGGTTTGTTGTCGGGGCCTAGGTCGTCTGCTTGACGGAGCTTCTCAATCGGCTGGCCGCAACTGATCTCAAGAAGCAATACCCCGAGAGAAAGAATCTTGGAACAATCGTTCCCAGGGGACGCAATGTTTTGACCATCCGGTGGAGGGTTGTGGTGGTGCTCGCATGTTAGATATGGGTATCTGATGTCGACTGCAGCTGCAGAACTTTCCTTTGCTCTGAAGAACATGATATCTGTTTTGTTCCATGACCGCTGAAGCCACGGAGTCTGGTTCAATTGAAGGAGGGAGGAGGCAAGTGTGATAGATAGGCTGTAAATTTCCTGCTTACTCAATGGGCCTGGTCTATTTGCCAGTATCTCACCAAGAGAGACACCCTCGTCCACGTCGGTGGTGCTCTGCGTCTTAGCTGGGTATGCGCCTCTGACGCAGCCATCCTCATCTATATAGAAGCCTATGCACGGATGACAGGGCTGCTGAATTACTGTACACAGATTTCTGACTACTGGGAGCTGGGATGGATCTCGGTATGGAAGAGCCGTGGCTGGAGTATGAGTGGTGGTTGTGGCAGACGAGATGACAATTTTTACAGTAGACCTGCCGGTGCGTGCATAAATTAATTCTCGTACAAACATTATAATTAATCAAAGGGAAGCTCTTAAAATACTGACCTGCTCAGCTTGGTTGTGGCAATATCAGGCTCTACAATGTGGAACTCAGCCTCGAGCCATTTTCGAGGGGACGGCGTCTGCAACAGCGAGATCCCAAAGCGGTGAGAGTCATATTTCTCCAAATCCCCTTTTTGCTGCCAGTCCGACGTGCCTCTCTTCTTTTGTGTCGCCAAGCGCTGTTCAAGCAGGATCCCGGCGGAATGCTTGGAGTGGTTAGAGCACCAGGTTCGAGTCAACACATCAAACAGCCTGCCTGCATTCTGCTGCATCACGCGGAGCGGAAGGGCGAACTTTGATTTGCTCCTCGCATTGTAAGGCTCCTCGAGTTTCTCGGCCTTTTCCAAATATGTGTCTAACTGGGTGATCGCTTTCGTCAAGTCATCGAGACATCTCCTGATGCTCTGCCGCTTCATTGTGAACTTGATTCGCTCGCGAAACTCGAATCTAGGCAGTCTCCCCACTTCTATTTGGGGTGGATTGGCTGCAACAATTGCCTCAAGGCCATCATGGGTGATCCTGTCTGCGCCTTCAATGTTGAGATTCCCCGCAATCGCCTTCATCGTGCTCTCGATGTCTCGGATTGTTCTCATGCATGCGGGATATGACCTCCCCAACTTCTTTCGAAGCGCCGCTTCTATCTCTTTGTCTCTCCATAGCTCGCTATTTGCGTTTTCCATCATATCGAGGAGCTCTTGGGGATCTGTGATAGGACTAAGGAGTATCTGCAATGACTGTTCGTATGACGTGTACTGGTTGACGAGCTCCCGCGTAGCTCGAGAGAGCTGGCCACGATATTTAAGGAATGCCTTGGTTGGGTCGAGGAGGTTCTCGTAGTTTTCAAGGGCGGATATGACAAGCGGGATTGACCCGAGCACGAGGCCAGCAATCTCCACTCCAGTCGCCATTGCCAGTGTCCAACTTCGTCAGTGCAAGCGAAGGAGACTCAGGGACCAGTGTTTTTTCTGAGGCATGCGCCCTTACGGTCCCTCTGTGCTGCGGGCCCTACGGGACCTGAACGACCTGTCCGCACCTTCGTTCTCAGTATGAGCGGAGCCAGAGCACTCCCAAGTAGCCACTAGGCCAAGCGAGAACGTTGGCCGGTGACTTGGGTCACTGGAGCTGCTTAGGGTATCCACTGCATCCGACACAGAAGCGTTTTTACAACAACAATGTAGAGGCTCACCCAACAAAGTCCAACTGAAGGGAGAGCGAAGCAGCGTGGAAAAGAATTCGCCAACCGTCGTGGTTCAGGTCTTGCAAGGCCCAGCGGCCAGGCGAAAAAGGCAACGCGCGCGCCCAGCCCAGCCCCTCATCTGCAATCCTATCATCATCGCGCCTCACGAAGACCCACACTCTTCACACCACTGATGACTCCCTTGCGCCTTGCTCATCCTCTTGTTCTCATGGTGCACTGAAGCACAGGGAATGGATTCGATATACCGCGCGACGGCCGCCAGCTGGAAAAGCTTCCAACAGCTGGCGGCTGCGCTGAAGGACCCAGAACATTGCCTCCTGATGCCCCCCGGTAAAGTTGAAAACCAGTATGACCGGTTGAAGCTGTGGTCAGGGAATCTGGGCGCTTTGCAGACTGGAAGGGCCTCCCTGGATTTTCGGCTGCGGGAGTCGACCGTGGTGCGCATGAATGTGCTCAAGCTGCTAAATAAATTGCAGCAGACGTTGACTTTGAGTATGTTAACTTCGGTTGGAGGAGCTTGTTCCACAACTCCAACCCGCCCTTTCAGGCTTGAGTCTCACGTTGATGGATAACGACAGACGTATTGCTCATTTGCTGACGACTGGGAAAGGCGTCGAAGTTGCAACCGGAACACGGCTGCCCTTGGAGAAACTTTCGCTACCCAATGACTCCAGCGATGATGAATCGTCCGCGGAAGACTCCGATGAAGAGCCTCTGACAGAACTCAGTCTTCATATGAGCACAATTACGGAGATCCTTGCCGACTTGTACAGACTTGCTTTCAGGATAAGGAGTACTGCTACGAGATTGAGATCACTAAAACCGTTGCTCTACAGGGAGGTCGACGAACAGACTGGCATTGACGTGTTTGCCGGTTTTGGTTACTTCGACATACGACATGTAGAAGACTCGTTTATCCAACTCCGGAGGGAAGCTGCCCAAAAAATGTCTATGGACCTCTCCGAAGCTGTTAAGATAACAGCAGAGGATAGGGCTCTAATCGATCGTCTGGGAACGACAATTACACAACGTCGAAAATTTATTCGTTACTGGCAAAGGCATGCAAAAAAGCTTGCGACTGTAGACAGTGAAGTCGTGCCACTTCGGCCTACTCCCACAGCGCTCAAAAATTTAGGACGGAAGCTAGAGATGCACGGTTCGACAGAAGGGCCCAAGCAATTTGACGCTGCACCGACTCACAACACCGCCAAAACAACTCTTTTATCCGAGACTGTTGCCACCAAGTACGATCGGAAACTCGACGACATGCTTGAGACACAATCTTTCATATCGTATGCGTCCACGGCATTCGATATGCACGGAGAACCAGTTGATGTCCCATCTCCTCCTTCTGCCGCCAACAAGAGCCTGGAGTTTCTCTGTCCGTATTGTGGGATAACGTGCCCATCCAGTCATGCAAGGGGGCGTGCCTGGAGGGCACATATTTTTCGAGACCTTCAACCGTATGTTTGCACTTACCCAGCCTGCCCTGATGGACTGCAAATGTACACTACCCGACATGCTTGGCTCGAGCACGAACGACTGGCGCACCGTCGTGTGTGGCAATGTTTTGAGCATCAAGCGCTCCTTTTTAATTCGAAATCCGATTTGCGTGATCATCTCGAATCACAGCATAACAATATCACTGGGGCCCAAATTGAGAATTTCCTTGAGATTTCAGAATCTAGTCTTAAAGACCCGCGAGAAAAATGTCCCGTCTGCCTACTAGAGCGGCAGTTCTACCAACGGCTAGATAAGCACTTGTCCTTCCACCTAGAGCGGTTCTCGACTTTTTCAACTTCTGGAATTATCCCAAAGGACGACGGAAAGGACGAGTCCGATATTGATAACCAATCCGCAAGACCTCGTGCCCGAGAGTCCATTCATTCAGCTAGTTTCGGTCCCCTAAGTTTTGAAACCGCACGATCCGTGACACCCCCATTGGAGGAATCCACGCTTCCGGCCGATATACAACCCGTTCTTCAATCCGATCACCTGCCACCAACATCTCAGGGTAGCGTTGAAATTGGAAAGAAGGAAACCGAAGATATGAAAGATGAAAAGATAGAAGATGACGATCCTGAACGTACCTGGGCCTATTTGGTGCCTATAACTCGCAATGGTGGCAGCATTATGTCACTCAAACATGAGGCTGCCCCCCATGCTGTTTCAATCAGTGATGAGAGCAAACCTCTTGCTCGAAGACCGTTTTCAGCAAAATCATATTTAATTGGCCGACATCCCGAGTGCGGTAAGTTTCGACTATTGACGGCCACCTAGCTATTACTATAATCATCATCATTATTATGCATTTTACTCGGTAGTTGCTCCACACGCTGACCCGAATGATAGATTTGATTCTCAAGTCTGCAACAGTATCAAACCGCCACTGCATAATATATTGCGAAGAGAATAGTGGAGCTACTGTTGCATTCCTACAAAACCTCTCCTCCAACGGGACCTTTGTTAACGAAACGTTCGTAAGGCGCAACAACAGCCGGCAACTTGCGGATGGAGATGAGATAGCTATCACTCTCGAGTATCGGTTTATTGTCAAGTACTCACGAAAGTCCCACACGAAGAGTTTCAGCGAGAAATACACCATCATTAAACCAGTTGCATGGGGTAATTTTGCGACAATATACTCCTGCATTGAACAGTCCACGGGCATTATGTATGCGGTAAAGAAGCTGGAGAAGCCTAATGACGCACTTAGGCTGGGCATGCAAAGAGAAATTGCTGCGCTTATGACGATCAGACATCCCGCCTTACTTCCTCTGGAAGAGCCATTCGATGAGATTGATGCATTGTATTTGGTCATGGAGCTTGCCCCTGAGGGTGACCTTTTCGATCGGATCGTGTCGCGCGAGAAATTGACCGAGTCCGAAACCCGCATCGTCTTCTTTCAACTATTTCAAGGGGTCAAATATCTGGTTCGTGCCGTCTTCTCGTCTATTAGAATCTAAACTAAGAACTGGTTCCAAAGCATGAACGGAATATTATACACCGAGACATCAAACCAAGAAAAATCCTGGTCTTTGACGAGGATTTACGTATCAAGCTCCATGTCGAATTAACAATGACGGTTGCAAACAGCGCAACGGACATGTGAGCCCGCCTGACAGCCCCTATATGGACTATTAGCTAACTATTGAAATAGGTTCGGGTCTGTTGGTTGTATGTCTACCACATAAGCTGATATAATCTTGTTACTAACTATCCCACAGATGCTGCGCCTGAAATGCTCACGAGACCCTCTGGTACGGGGCCATATACACATGCCGTAGATATCTGGTCTCTCGGGGTGGTGTTGTACATCTGCCTTTGCGGATTCCCTCCATTTTCAGATGAATTTTGCACCCCAGGATTCCCTTATAACATTACACAACAAATTATAAAGGGTCTATTCAGTTACCCATCCCCATACTGGGATTCTGTTGGCGATCCAGCGCTGGATCTTATCGACAAAATGCTCCTGGTGAATCCGAAGGATCGCTTGACCATAGAGGGCTGCCTCGAACATCCATGGCTTATATCCGGAGACTCATCTCTTCCAGTTATCACAAAAAGCCCAAGTGAGACAATGGAAGGACGGAGGTCGACCAAATTAGAGGCTGAACAAACAGGAGAATTGTCGAGCGCTTCTCATCAGGCAAAATCTTGAGTCTCCTCAAGGCAGGTTACCCGCCGATAGTTCCAACGAAGTTCTCTTTTCCCGACACTGTGATAAAGAAGGTCCTGAAAAAGCATAGTTACCTCAAGCAAGCCGGCTACTAGGGAAGTTACGAGACAAAGGTGCAGGCAACATGCGCTTTAATTGATTCCATCAGGCTGTAAGAGCCGATTTTTATTTATTTATTTATTTTATTTTATTTTCTAATAATTTTTGGGTATATATAATAACTGGGGTCAGACGCTTATTCGCTGCCGTTTGAAGCGTCGTCGTTTGCGTCCCCTGTTGCGGGCCTTGGGCAGCTGTGCCGAAACCCGGTTTGATACGTTAGTCTCAAAGATCATTTTACCGCCCTTGAGGGGCTAACTTTCAGAAGCTTCCCGAGTGGATGAACTGCGAACTAGCGAAGAAATTGCCGGTTTACAGCTCCTACCTTGGTAAGTGGCATGACGCCGCTAGTACAGTCCATGAAAATAACTAGGCGAAATCCAGGTATCAGACCAGATAGGGCACTATTGCAAGGACTGCTTCTTGACGGAATAGTATAGACGAGCAACAGGGGTTGGACTATCACGCAGACACTTTCACTGCATATACATTCTTATGACTTACGAAGGTGGACCCTTGCTTTTTGACATTTATTTGGTCTAGTCCTGTGTTCGTCCACTATGTCAAATTATGAGACGTTGATTTTATTCATTGATGAAATCATGAAATGCCCGTCTGATTGCTTGTCATCTACCCGGCCACTCTACAGACAATGAGCTGTTGTCCAGATCAACCGTTTGCCCAGTTGAAAGCACCATAATAGCTAAAATGCCAATCAAAACAAAAAAAAAAGAAAAAGAAAAAGAGAGAGAAAGAGAGAAGAAACAAATGAAGCCATCAATCAATGCATAAAACAGAAGAAGCCCTATGTCATACATCATAATTTATGCAATCCAAAAAAAAGAGATAAAAAGGGGGAACAGCTGCATTCCTATCATCTCTTCGTGACTCATTCATCGTTATTTCTTGGGAGGACTCCCCTCTCCATCCTCTGGTTCAACTCTGACAAGTACTTCCTCTAAAAAGCCCTCCAAGAACGAGTTGATCTCTCCGCCCATAGGGACGGGCGCCTCATCATCCCACTTCTCAATCTCCTTAAACACACCAGCCGCCTTGATAACCAACCTCTTCAACTTCTCATGCGCATATTGCCGCTTTTGTGCTAACTCGGCCGCAGCAGGGGTAATTTGCTTCCCACCGGAGTTGCGTGTCAGTGCATGAAGTTTACAGGTGCGGCGACGAAGCGCTGCTTCAAGTGCAGGGAGAATAACGCCATTTAGAGCAGTGATTTCATTATCTGGCGGTGCTGGGTGGGCAGAAAACGCAAGAGTGGACTGGGATGTCGTGGAATCGGCAGACTTGCGCGGTGGAGCTTCTGTGGACTGGAGGGAGGAGAGTGAGGTTTGTCGGCGAGATAGTAAGGGTGGTAATGGCTTTTGATTAGGTCCTGCTGCGTATCTTTCATGTTGGAGAGGAGGAAGGGGTAACTGTCCGGGAAGAGCTTGCGGACGCGCTGATGGTTGGGGTTGGCTGGGCAGGTCCCGAGAGGGCGTCCTTTTCGCCTGGCCCCTGAATGGCGGTATTTCTGGAATCTGCGCCGAGACCGGTTTTCTATACGCTTGCTCATTTGCCGGGGGCGTTGGAAGGGATTTGGGTGGTGAAGCGGGAGCGGCATGGGAGGAGTTGCCTCCCAGCTGGAGGTATCCTAGATCCTGGGCCAGCGTTTGTTGCAAAGCCCTATCGTAGTCCATACTATTGGGACTTTCTTTTTCAATTTGGAATGATGTTTTTGAATGATGTATTGGAGTACTGTACTGCTCTTGATAGTTAGTCTTCTGCGGAGATGGCGGAAGCGGAATCTTGGACGGTGGCAATTGAGATGTAGATAATAAACTGGGGGGGAAGTTTTGTCTCTGAGGAGTCTTTTGAGGTGACGGTGGAGCTTTCAACGTGGGATTAGATGGCTTGCGCTGTAAATTTTCAGAACTAGCGAAATCCTGGCTGATGGCATGGCGGCGATGATCTTCGATACCTTGAGCCCTCGCATTCGCGGCGGCATCATTCATGGCGCGTAATCCGGCAGCCCTTCCCAAGCCAGCTGGGCGTACGGTGCCAAAATCCCAAAGATCTTCTTCTTCTGGAGTGGGCTTATGAGGAGAAGTAGGCACTTCATCTTCGTCGTCGGATAGCTCATTTCCATGTGTAGTGACCCATCTCTCGTATCTCTCAATCAATTCTGTAAGATAAGTCGTTTTCTTCGCACGTTTTATAAACGGATGTCTCAGCAGTTCTTTGGCGGTTGGGCGTTCTCTAGGGTCCCGCCTGAGACATAGTTCCACAAAGTCCTTGAACGGCCTGCTAAAGTTTCCCTGTAATGTGGGAGGATGGTTTTTAGGGATAAGAAACAAAACTTTCATAGGATGTATATCAGAGTACGGCGGCTGTCCCTCAGCTAGTTCTATAGCCGTAATCCCCAAAGACCAAATATCTGCTTTGTGGTCGTGGCCGGATTGCTTGATTACTTCCGGTGCCATCCAGAACGGAGTGCCGACGAACGTATTCTTCTTCGTCATGGTCGCAGAAAGCTGACCAGAGACACCAAAGTCTGCAAGTTTGACTTGCCCACTTGCTGTAAGAAGGACGTTTGCAGCTGTGGTGAATGCAATCAGCAACCTAGTTTCCGGTAGAGCAGACATTCGCTCTGGGATGCGCCCCACCTTTGACGTCTCTGTGTAGCTTATTGTCGGTGTGAAGATAATCCAGTCCCATTAGCAACTCCCGCAAGATAATCATAATATAGTCCTCTTCGATTTTGCCCGCGCGCATCAAGTCCGAGCAGCTCCCACCAGAGCAGAACTCCATTATAATCCATAGGTCGGAACCTTTGAGGTACGACCCATGGTACTTCGTCACATAGGGAGAATTGAGCTCTGATAAGATGGAGATTTCCTGGATTATATCTTCGACTTCGTCGTCGGCATTTTCAACGTCAATTATCTTAATCGCAACCGCTTGGCCCGTGCGTTTGTCAACTCTATTGAAGGTCCGACAGCACCGTGTCAGTTATTCCCAAACCATATCAAGGTGGGAGAAGGAGGAGATCGTACCCTTTGTACACTTTACCAAAACTTCCACCACCTGTAAGAACATAAGGAATCAGCCAGGAAACACAGCTAACGGGTTCCTTTCATCTCTCATCGCATACCGATGCAGTTTTGTTTTGTATACAGCGTCTCCGGGTCTACAGCACGACCCTCCATTTTGACACACTTGTATTATTTAAATCCTTTTTCCCTTCGAGTCCACCAAAGGACGACCTATCAGCTTCACAAACCAGCAGCAAACAGTTTGTTTGTTTGAGAAAGCGTAGGGGCGGGTGCGAAAGTGTGGACGAATTATGAGGGGCAGGGAATAAGGGGAGTCCAGGAGAGTGGCGATGCGCACGGATGGAGGAGCTGTCAGATAAGAAGTTGTGAGATTCAATGCGTCGAGCGTCCGATGGGAGCGGGTCCGCTTGGTGATGCCTGTTGCAGTGCTCTCTGGAGTACATATGTATCTGTGTCGTCAGCAGGAAGCAGGATGCAACAGCCCACCACGCGCTGATATGATGGCACACCGCTGTGTTCGCCAATAATTGCTCTTCTCCCACTCAGCTCTGTCAAAACAAACAAACAGCCGCGGGAGCTTCGCTCATGAAACGAAACCGCTAGTAAGGCGCATTACACGGGCTGCTCCCGAGTCCCGACGAAACACGCAGCCTGACTGGTGGGAAATTACGGGAACGGGAAAGGCTCTGGAAATTTGGTTAATCCGGTTCCAGTATCATGCGTACGGTAACTCCCGTACTCCGCACAATACATCCATAACGCACGTGCATGGGACAAGCCATCTTATCTTATCTTATCAATCTCATCTCCTACGTTCCAAGCTTTTCAGGCACGGAAAAAAAAAAATTAAAAATTAAAAAAATAAAAAGAACCTGAGTAATTTTCACTGTATTGTTTCGGATTTGTCAGCTGGCTTGGCATTGCTTTGAAGGGAATAGAACATCCTTGGAAGGTTATCAACGCCCGCAACCAGGCGCGAAGTCCACATGGAAAAAATAATTAGCAAACCTGAACAAATCAGCGAGTGGCATCTACTCCTGATATTATTATGACAATACTTTATTTTGCGCCTATTCGGATTGTCATGCGAAAAAACCTTGCCATTCCGAACACACACTAACTTGTTCAGGGGCTGCCATGTCAAATATCCCCATCTGTTGATTTGCTCTGTGTACTCCGTACATCGTGAATATTACCATAAGGGCGACATCCCAAACTAAACATGCAAGCCACAAGGTTGGCGCGGTTCTAATCTTCCTCCATATACCCAACCATTACGGTTCCATTCTTCAGGCCCGCATCCTGAATACTCGTATCAAGTATGTGGATGAGATTCTGCCCCATGGAGACTAATTCAAACTCAACCCCCGCCTTGCCTTCTATCGGAGACGCCTTTAGCCATTCATAGAGTCTTCTGACAGAGTCTGACAGGGAGAATCTCCGAATTATTCTGCCCGAGGAATGTCGGAACTGGATCCTGGTCGTGGTAGCCGGGTCCGCCTCTGGCTCTTTATGTAGCTTATCGGATGGGATGGAGCGGAACAGCTTGGAAAACTGATCTTCTTCTTCCTCTCCGTTTTCAGCCAGGGACTCAATGTCTATTAGATCGTTATTGGACGCAGTAGCTTTGCCTTTGCCCTTGAGGTCACTGATGCTTCGCGTGAGCTCATCTGGATCCTCATGTTTTGGTGCCTCTTGACCCTCTAAGCTGTTCCGGAGGGCCATCTCTAGCATTTCTTCCTCCGTCATTGTGTCTAGCTTGGATTGAGGTTTGACCTCCGGTTTCCTCTTCGCAACGGGGTTGCGCACAGCATTGTCAAGGCTGTATCGATCGAGAAACTCGTGAAGCTGTATCAGAAAATCGGAGGCCTTGACCACTGGTGGGCCAGACCATATTTTCACTTGTTCTCCGGTTCGCGGATCGACAATGGCGATGTGCGGGTAATTGTCTTGCACGTCGTGTGCAGGGAAGTAATACTGGAGGTATTGAGCCCCGCGTTCGTCGTCTTTGGTAAACTGTAAGAAGATGAAATTCTCTTTCACCGTATCTACAATTGAGGGGTTTTTCCAAATGTCCCTGTTTAACAACTGGCAGTCAAAAATGGATGGGTCCTGGACGTTAACCAGCAGCCATTTCTTTGTTTCCCGACCTTCACTGCGTGCAGCTTCCCAGGGTAGCCTTGACATAATCTCGAATGGGGGTCTATACATCTCGGCCAGCATACTAGACTTAGACGATGATTCGGACGCTCCACCTGTAGCCCGAGAGAGCGTTGCTCTGTGTGACTCTGGGTCTTCGTCATTCCAGATCGACGAGGTAACATCTCTCTGATTAAAAATGCCAGGGCGTCCTATCAAAGCAAGTTGTTAATTCTCCCGTTTGATAGCTCACCGGCGGGGTCGAACTCGATACATACCCGCCCGGGCCCGCTGTCTAGCTCGAACCTCCTGCAGTAATCCTGAGTGTGGGTCATCGAAATCGGCGTCTGGTCCTACGAGGGTTTCCGTTCTTCTAGAAATGGGGGCCCGAACAGTCTCCGTGGATTCTCCACCAGCGTATAGTTCTTCTTGCAAACGACGCGCCAGCGCCAGATCGTCTTCGAAAGTTGGGCCACTACGTGTGGACGCTTGCTGGTTCGAGGTACCAACAGGTATACTAGCACCTTCATCGTCGGAGTCGATATGAACGACGCCGTGCTCGTCTTCGTATCCAGCCGAGGCTCGCGGGCGACTGGGGGATCGTTGAGCGGATTCAGTTTGCGGTTCAGGCTGAAAATCAACGGCTCCATTTTCAAAGTAGAGCTGCATAGCCGTCTGCAGGTTGTAGTCTGTCAACTGCAGATAATGCAGCGCGGTTTCCGGGCGAGAACCCGTAACCTCCGTGAACTGGGCTAGAGCGGCGTCCTCCATGGCTGCTATTTTGTAGAGAGAGTCAACGTATTACACAAAGTGGAGGTTCGCGGCTAGGGGAGATAGATAGGTGAGCTAAAGCACTGCCGGGAAGATACAGCTAACCCGGCAGTTATTTGGAGTAAGCTCCGAAGGAGAAAGTCACATAAAAGAAAAGGGTGAGATCAGCATTTAGTTTATCGACAACTCTCGAAATGCAGAGATCATGGTCGGGAATCTGTCTGAAATTAAAGAGATTCGAATGGAGGATGGATTCAGGCAGATGGCGCGAGGCAAACAATGAGAGCCAGGCAGTCAGTGTGATAGTCGCTGATAAGCAAGGCGGACAAGAATGACACAATACGTCAAAGCACGTGCAGAGTTCTCGGTAAATATGTTATTCCGTCCAGATCACGCAGGGCCGCTGCCCAAGTCAGGAGAATGCACCCGGGAGTGAGCGCTAGTCCTGTAACAGAAGGCAATCCAAGGGTTTAGGGCTTGTACGGTACGGGATATAAACCAAAAATGCAGTTTGATGCACAAATTTTATGCAACTATCCTGCACTATTGACCTTTTTCGTTCTCCGTATAGAAGTTAACCCCCATTACTCGGTACAAGAGGAGGCTTCACACATCACTGAAAACTCGCATTTTTGAGGGATGAATATCTAGCGGCTAGTCTCTTTCATCCGAGAGAAGGTAAGGAGTAGTTGGCTCCGTACTCTGGTACACTACAGGAATAAGCTCTAAACCTCACCCGAAAATTGGATTAAGACCTGGAAATACCTGGAATTCCTGGAATACCATGGCCGATAGCGCCATGTGTTGGAGCGGAGTGGCGG